TGACAGGCATGAGGACCTTGCAAGGTACACACATACCAAATATAGTTATCCTAATACTTATAATAAGAGAGAATTTAACATTACAAAAAATGTTAACTTTTTTTTCAAGTAGTCACTGAACCATGAAAATGAGGCCAAGGACATTGGACATGTGACTGACGGAAACTTCGTAACATGAGGCATCCATATACAAAGTATGAAGCATCCAGGTCTTCCACCTTCTAAAATATAAAGCTTTTAAGAAGTTAGCTAACGCCGCCGCCGGATCACTATCCCTATGTCGAGCTTTCTGCAACAAAAGTCGCAGGCTCGACAACAAAGGACTACTAGCAGTTACTGACATGCCAGCTCCAGACCTCAATTAAACTGATTGAAAGATTATGTCTTCATCATATGAAAATCAAGCACAATCCCTCCCGTTAGGGGTTTAGTATCATACCATCATAAAATATATTAGTAGAACATAACCAATATCATGCCAACAACTGGTTTTAGAAAGACCCTATGAGTGAATCAATATAAATACCAAAATATGCCATCTTTAATGACCTGACAACAGTATCGTTACTATATTGCTTCTGAATAAGTCTATTTAAAGGTTTGGTTAGCTTTTGAGGTAAATGTCGACATTTTTGTGCTTTGTATAGAATATTACCATAAAAGATTGGATGTGAAATACCTGAACGTATAAGATGTCTGCATGTTGATTTATATTTATGAATGATGTGCATGTACCGATGATAAAATTTAGTAAATGTTTTGACTAGTTTGTGATATCGAAAACCCTGGTGTGATAATTTTTCAGTAATACAGAGGTTTCTTTCGTTAAAATCAAATACGTTGTTACATACGCAAGCAAATCGAACAAGTTGAGATATATAAACATCATAAGATGGTGACAAGGGAACGTCACCATCTAAAAATGGATAATTAACAATAGGAAATGAAAAATCATCTCTTTTATCATAAATTTTGGTATTAAGCTTCCCGTTAAAGATATACATATCAAGATCCAGGACAGGGCAGATTTCCCTTTATTTAAAGTCATTTCAGCAGGATAAATCTCTTTAGTGTACATTTTGAAGTCATCATTATTGAGAGCCAATATATCATCCAAATATCTAAAAGTATTATTAAATTTTTGTATCAGATGTTGTTTCGATGGGTCTTTGCTGATTTTAGTCATAAATTGTAACTCATAACAATACAGAAACAGGTCTGGAATAAGTGGTGCACAGTTAGTCCCCATAGGAATTGCAATAACTTGACAATATACGGAATCTCCATAGCGAACAAAAATGTTATCTAGTAAAAATTCAGGGTAGTAATCGTATTTAATTAGGTGTGTGAAGATTTTGAGGCAAAGTGGTATATAGGGTAGAAAAATGAAAACTTTGAACAGATTCGAAATCACCAATATAAGCATGCAATTTATCAAGTACTTCCAACGAATTTTTAACACTCCAAAAGTAATTAATTCCACTATTTTCAAAGGCCTTATTTGAACAATTTATTACCAGGTTTTTGATTATACCATGTGTACTAGTAAGTAGAATAGACAGTTTAGTAGTGGAACAATGTCTTGAAGATGAAATAAATCTATATTTGTAAGGTGTTTTGTGCAGCTTTGGAAGCCAGTACATAGTTGGAACTTTCATTGTATTTGGTTCTGCTTGTAAAGAAGTAGCTAAAAATTTATGTTTGTTACAGATGTCATTTTCCGAAATGGAGTCAGTTTGAATGTTGGTGAATTCGTGATTTCCTTTTGCAGAACCTCAATCGTAAAATTTACATCAAACAATAATGGTATTATTAGCAGCCTTATCAGCCGGGACAAAAACAAATTCCTTGGCGAGTTCTTTTAGCTTATGTTTGATACGAGAAATAGGGCTATTATGGTTGTTGTTGGGAGTAAAATGTTCTTTAAAATGTTTAATACGAATATCAACTATGTTCATTACTGATTTAAAAAAGAATCTAAGGATTTTTTGTCAGCTTTTTCTCGTTTTATCCATTTTGAGCAGTAAGTGCGGAGTGAGTCGTGGATGATGTTACAACACTCATTCCAATTAATAATTGACGGGGGCGATATTTAGGTCCTACACTGAGGAATGATTTCAACTCTCGGTCATGAACGATGTTAAGGTCTCCTGTTGTAACATGGGAACTGGGGCCATAAATGTATTCCGAATTACTGCAATTTCATGACGTAGGTGTATTGTCACTAATATTAACATCTTTACACACTTGGCTATAATTAAACACATATTTCCCAGGATGATTTTTTGTAAACACAACAAATAAGAGGGAGTTCAGTATTATCAAAATAGCCAGGAATTTGTTCTTTAACAGAATGAGGCAATATTTACAAAATCAAAACCTTTATTGACATCTTTGATTTTAATAAAATGTTTTTTATGTTCTTCAAGGCGATCAATTTTGGGAAACAGTTTAGAATAATAATATGCAATTATAATTTGGACGATTTCATACTTAGGACTGCAATATGGAATTATGTTGCAATCCTCTAAAATTTGATGTAATTTATTAACAGGTTGGTTAACAGATAATGTCTGCCGTTGTTTTTTGAAATAGTAATTAGGTCCAAAATATTTGTATTGTTGGTACGAAATTTTCTCTGCTAGCGATTTATTCTACGCCCATGAGAACAGTTTTTACGAACAGTTTTAGAAACTATATCCAAAATGAATGGATACAAAGGAATGGTAAAAGCTCACATAGGTGAGCTAAACATTTGGCTTTTTTGGCAGTTTTTTTGTTATGCACAAAATGTAAGAAGTTTGAAGATCTATTGCCAATAGGTAAGGCAAAATTACAAAAATAATAGATACTTATGATCAACAGACTAATATCTAATGGACATCTGAAGGATGTTATCTGATTGATTTATACTACTTTTTGATTTTAATGGGAAAACAGATCCACCTTATAATACCTTCTCCTTTTAAAGGGGCACTTACCATCTGTCAAATTCATGTTGACCGATTTGACTAAATTCTCATATTTGCTTTATAACATACAACTAGAGGCTCTCAAGAGCCTGTGTCGCTCACCTGATTCTACTTTGGTTTTGGAAATCATGTAAAAATAGATTAAAATCATAACAGATACCCTAATAATGAGTGAGGCCAAATTTGGTTTAATATTGGTCCTGTAATTTAATAAAAAATCCTGGTGGCCATCTTGAACAGTAAATCGGCAACAAAGTAGCAACACTTAATCAGCACCTCATAAGAAACATTTATGCCATGTTTTGGTTTCATTCCATTCAGTGCACCTCTAGAAGAAGCATTTGTATGTATTTCCCATAGGGTCTTATGTAAAAGGAAGTCCCCCAATTGGCGGCCATCATGGATGAAGGATCAGCTTCAAAGTAACAAAACTTAGTCAGCACCTCATGAGGAACATTCATGCCATGTTTGGTTTCAATCCATTCAGTAGTTCTCTAAAAGAAGACGTTTGTATGTATTTCCCGTAGGGTCCCATGTTAAACTAAGTCCCCTGCTGGCGGCCATCTTGGATTATTGATCGGCTTCAAAGTAACAACACTCGGTCAGCACCTCATAAGGAAAATTCAAGCCATGTTTGGTTTCATTCCATTCAGTGGTTCTCTAAAAGAAGACATTTGTATGTATTTCCCATAGGGTCCCATGTTAAACTAAGTCCCCCGCTGGCGGCCATCTTGGATTATGGATCAGCTTCAAAGTAACAACACTCGGTCAGCACCTCATAAGGAACATTCATACCATGTTTGGTTTCATTCCATTCAGTGGTTCTCTAAAAGAAGACATTTGTATGTATTTCCCATAGGGTCCTATGTTAAACTAAGTCCCCCGCTGGCGGCCATCTTGGATTATGGATCGGCTTCAAAGTAACAACACTCGGTCAGCACCTCATAAAAAACATTCATGCCATGTTTGGTTTCATTCCATTCAGTGGTTCTCTAAAAGAAGACATTTGTATGTATTTCCCATAGGGTCCAATGTTAAACTAAGTCCCCTGCTGGCAGCCATCTTGGATTATGGATCAGCTTCATAGTAACAACACTTGGTCAGCACCTCATAAGGAAAATTCATGCCATGTTTGGTTTCATTCCATTCAGTGGTTCTCTAAAAGAAGACATTTGTATGTATTTCCCATAGGGTCCCATGTTAAACTAAGTCCCCCGCTGGCGGCCATCTTGGATTATGGATCAGCTTCAAAGTAACAACACTTGGTCAGCACCTCATAAGGAACATTCATACCATGTTTGGTTTCATTCCATTCAGTGGTTCTCTAAAAGAAGACATTTGTATGTATTTCCCATAGGGTCCTATGTTAAACTAAGTCCCCCGCTGGTGGCCATCTTGGATGATGGATCCGCTACAAAGTAACAACACTTGGTCAGCACCACATAAGGAACATTCATGCCATATTTGGTTTCATTCCATTCAGTGGTTCTCTAGAAGAAGTTCAAAATGTAAAAAGTTAACGCTGACGACGGACGACGGACGCCAAGTGATGAGAAAAGCGCACTTGGCCCTTCGGGCCAGGTGAGCTAAAAACGTATATCCAGATTACAAAAGGTATAAATTAACAATTTATAGTGAGCATGTGCAATTGGATTTTTCTGGGTCTCTTTGATTTCATATCATATCATACGTTAAAAAAATATGTCAATCAGTGTTTTTACCTGTATAAGAATGATTTTATTTGAGGATTGAATCAGTCAACCAAATGGTTTACCCTTGTTTCTCTTTCAATGAATACGGATTCCATGAAGTTAATTTATTGATTTGCAAGTCAATAAAACATCAGCCATGTTTTTGAGCTTATTTTGACAAATTTGGTCCAAACTGACTGCTTGAACGAATATTATTTCGGAATTCTGCTTTCATTTATGCTTGAAACAAAAAGAATTGTTCTTTAAATTTTTGTCTTAATCGTAGCTAACTTTAAGGACTTTTTTTCTTAAAGAGCTAAATTATAAGGAAACTCACTTGAAACTTTCATCTGGTTTTTCTTCTTCCTGAAAAACAAATTAAAATTAAATTTCATATACAATTAAAGAACCTTAGTGAGCGCGCTCACATACCCCACGTCCCCACATTGTCATTGGAGAAATAAAATATGTGTAAGAAGTAAGAAAAAGAAATTGTATAAGAAAAAAAATTGAATCATAATTTCCTGTCAATATGCACATCTACATAGCATGTCCTTATTATCTAAAAAGGTTTCATGAAATTCTGTTGTGTGGTTTGAGAGGAGTTGCGATGACAAACTGTTGCAGTAGTACATTGAAGCAAATAAGTTTAAAGGGGCGTAACTCCTAGAAAAAAAATTGAACTGTAATTTCCTGTCGATATGCACATCTACATAGTATGTCCTTATTATCTAAAAAGGTTTCATGAAATTCTGTTGTGTGGTATCAGAGGAGTTGCGATAACAAACTGTTGCAGTAGTACATTGAAGCAAATTAGTTCAAAGGGGCGTAACTCCTAGAAAAAAAATTGAACCGTAATTTCCTGTCGATATGCACGACTACATAGTATGTCCTTATTATCTAAAAAGGTTTCATGAAATTCTGTTGTGTGGTATCAGAGGAGTTGCGATGACAAACTGTTGCAGTAGTACATTGAAGCAAATAAGTTCAAAGGGGCGTAACTCCTAGAAAAAAAATTGAACCATGATTTCCTGTCGATATGCACAACTACATAGTATGTCCTTATTATCTAAAAAGGTTTCGTGAAATTCTGTTGTGTGGTTTGAGAGGAGTTGCGATGACAAGAAACAGGACTGACGGACTGACGGACGGACAGATGGACGGACGGGTCAAAAAAATTATACCCTCCGCAACTCGTTGCGTGGGGTATAATAAAAATAATCATTATGAATTAATGATTTTAATGGAAATCAAAGCATTGTAGGTGTTGTGATCGAGTCAGTTTATAAGCCATGTGAGCTAAAAAAGAGGTAACATAACAGGTTATTGGTTCTTTTGTATTATTTTGAAGGAACCATAATATATATCAGAAAAAGGCTAGATGAACTAATAAGTAGATATTTCAAGTGCAACAGCTCCAAAACAGGTTATTGGTTGTGTTCTAAAATTTTGAAGGCACTATCATATATATCAGAAAAAATGGCCAGCTGAGCTAAAAAGTAGATACTTCAGCGACAACATCTTCAAAACAGGTTATTGATTTGTTCTGAAATGTTCATGGTACTATTAAATACATCAGAAAAAATAATAAAATGCTCCGCTGGGGCACAGCTTGATACGACCGCAGAGGTCGAACCCTGAACAGTTGGGGCAAGTATGGACACAACATTCAAGCTTGATACAGCACTGAATTTGGATTGTAATTAAATATTTGACACAGCATAGGTTTCTGACACAGAATGAAAGTGGTCTAAGAACTTCAAAAATTTTAATTTACCTATTCAAACCATATCATTATTATTTGCTTTTATATATAAATCAGAAATAACCAATTTAAAATGGTAAATTTTAAAGAAAAAAAAGGAAACCCCCCCCCCAAAAATTTTTTGAACCCCCTTATGATTCATCACCCCCAAACTCAATCCCAGCCTTCCCTTTGTGGTATGGTACCGTGCAGCACAATTTCAGAGAGATCCATACACTTGAACACAAGTTATTGTCTGGAAACTAGAAAAATGCTTGTTTTTTGGCTCCTTTTTGGCCCAAAATTCCTAAACGTTTAGGGCAATTACCCCCAAACTCAAACCCAGCTTTCCCTTTGTGATATGGAACCTTGCAGTACAATTTCATAAAGATCCATACACTTACACACAATTTATTGTCCTGAAACTAGAAAAATGCTTGTTTTTTTGCCCTTTTATGGCTCCTAATTACTAAAATTTTGAGGGAATTACCCCCAAAATCAATCCCAGTCTTCCCTTTGTGGTATGGTACCTTGCAGTACAATTTCAGAGAGATCCATACACTTGAACACAAGTTATTGTCTGGAAACTAGAAAAATGCTTATTTTTGGCCCCTAATTCCTAAACTTTTTGGGCAATTACCCCGAAACTCAATTCCAGCTTTCCCTGTGTGATATATGGAACCTTGTAGTACAATTTCATAAAGATCCATACACTTACACACAAGTTATTGTCATGAAACTAGAAAAATGCTTGTTTTTTGCCCCTTTTTGGCCCCTTATTCCTAAAATTTTTAGGCAATTAACCCCAAAATCAATCCCAGCATTCCCTTTGTGATATGGAACCTTGTGATACAATTTCAGAGAGATCCATAGACTTACACACAAGTTATGTCTGGAAGTTACAAAAATGCTTATTTTTGGCCCCTTTTTGGCCCCTAATTCCTTAACTGTTGGTACAAGTTATTGTCATGAAATTGAAAAATGCTTGTTTTTTGCCCCTAATTCCTAAAATTTGGAGGCAATTACCCCCAAAATCAATCCCAGCATTCCCTTTGTGATATGGAACCTTGTGGTACAATGTCAGAGAGATCCATCCACTTACACACAAATTATGTCTGGAAGTTACAAAAATGCTTATTTTTTGCCCCTTTTTGGCCCCTAATTCCTTAACTGTTGGTACCATAACCCATAAAATCAATCCCAACCTTCCTTTTGTGGTATTGAACCTTATGGTAAAATTTCATTGAGATCCATTCACTTAAACTAAAGTTAGAGTGCGAAAACTAATGTGTCTTCGGACGACGACGACGCTGACGTCATACCAATATACGACCACAAAAATGTTTTTGCGGTCGTATAAAAACCTCGCAACTAATCCCTTTTTGGCAACCTTAGCAAATTATATCTGAAAAACTTCAATATCTAACCCAGGGGCCTCAGTGGCAAAGTAGTCTGAGTAGTTCAACTACGAAAAAGGCATGTAGATCTATTTATCGCTTATTTGTTTGTATCAACATATGCAAAACTGCTGAAATTTTTATCAAATAAGTAATATTATGGTAGTAATCAAACCATTTTTCAATACGTTTGGGTCACTGGCCATCTTCAGTTTCTTTTTTATCCTTCTTAACTACTGTAAATTCAGATATTATTGCGAGGTTTTTATTAATGCGGATAATGCGAATGGGTGAATATCGCAATAATAAGAACTCGCATTCTGATATCTGATACATATATCTGTATGCAGATTTTCCTGAAATCGCAATAATTAGTCTAGAGTTTTTGTCCATTTTTCAAACATCGCAATAATAAATGCATGCAATAATTTCTGAATTTACAGTATATGGTAGACATTTCACTTTCACAATTTTTTAGATGTTATACATTTAAATTAAATGATTTATCAGAAATCAACCACACAATTAACCGAAAGACATATCAGCTTTCATTAGTGATATTTTTTTTTCATAAATAATGAATATTAGAGGTAAAGTGATATCAGATGACATAACATAGATGACCTTTTGTGCAAGATGAGCTCGAAAAGTAAACAGTTAATACCTGATATAGAATGCTACTATCACAATCAAATTGATAAAAACAAGCACTGCAACTAAACCAATCAAAGCTTTAATCCAAGGAGACAATCCACAGTCTGGACAAGAACAAGCATATCCACCATACTTGTTGGTGCAGGTGTAAGAGTCTGGACAAGGTTTGCTTAGACATTCATCCACATCCTCTTCACAATGTAGTCCTGTAAACTCTGGTGGGCATTCACAGTTATAATAAAGATCAAAACTCTCAGCTCTGTGAGTATCTTCACAAGGGTAGTTGCTGGTATCCTTTTCTGGAAAAGAATAGTTTTATAATCATTATACAGGTAAAAAGTCGTAACTCGGTTATTTTTTGTCTTTGCTAAAAAAGAATTTTAAAGAATTTTAACCCTATGAAACATTCTGAGCTCTGCCAGTTTCATCACAATCATATTACTGATGTACTTAATTATACAAATGAAAACTATCACCTGTTCTCTGCTTTATTCAGGATGTATTATAGTAATAAAACTAGCCATAAACCCTCAATTCTGTCTTTTTACAACAAAGTTTACTGTTTTTAAGTATTATTAACCTGCTACATTTTAATAATTGAAATAAACAAGAATGTGTCCATAGTACACGGATGCCCCACTCGCACTACCATTTTCTATGTTCAGTGGACCGTGAAATTGGGGTCAAAACTCTAATTTTGCATTAAAATTAGAAAGATCATATCATAGGGAACATGTGTACTAAGTTTCAAGTTGATTGGACTTCAACTTCATCAAAAACTACCTTGACCAAAAACTTTAACCTGAAGCGGGACAGACGGACGGACGAACGGACGCACAGACCGAAAAAACATAATGCCCCTCTACTATCGTAGGTGGGGCATAAAAAGTGGGGAGGCCAAATCCAACATGAAAGTGAAGAGCATTAATATTGCATGCCAAAAATTCTGAAAAGTGTGCCAAATATGTTTTATGCTTTCTTTGACTGGAGGTAGAAAGTTAAAGCTGTTTAATAGGTGTTACAAATAATTCACAATTTTTTAAAGAGAAATTTACAGAAAATTATGTCAAACAACATGCTGACTACTAGACTGGTAGGCATAAAAGTAGACAATTGTGTATCTACATATTAAGATGAAATAGTATGCTGCTCTGCATAAGAAACAAATAATAAGACATTGATATTGGACAGGAACTTTTTTTATTCTAATGCTTTTGCCTTTCACATTGCTAATAGGCAAAACACTTTTTCAGGAGTCAGTGCATAAACACGTAGTAAGAAATTTACGTCACTGAAAGGAGAAGCACATCATACCTTGACACACCCCTTTATTTTGACAAGGTGACTCCATAATAGTAAACTGTACAGTAACCACTTCAGATGTGCCATTCTTATCATCAATGATGTACATCTTTAAATAGTCATAACCATAATAATCAGCTGGCTGAAAATACGTTACTTTGGTATAGATCCACAACATATCTGAAGCACTATATGGTAATGTCTGACTGAAATTTCCACAAGGTTCACTATCCATCTGAAAAAAAAACAATGTTTGGTGCTAACTTTCATAGATTCAATGAAAAAACATCAAATTACAACAATGCAATCAGTATCATTAAGCACTATAGGCCCCCAAATAAATATGTTGTTTAATATTATTTATACATATTGGCAAGATTTGCCATCTTCTATCCTATACTATTTAGTGTCTTGGTTGTTATATATAGGAGACTGAGAGTTTTATATTCCCCTGGGTTTAACAAAATAATTTAAATTATGTCTTTGTTTTTCTGCCAAGCAAAGGTCATCTGATTGTCTTAGAGTCAGAATAATGTGTCTGGGAAGGTGGACACATCTTTCTGTGGACAGTTACTTTGTGAGCTAGCAAGTTAAAATAACAAATCATAGATATAAGAAGATGTGGTATGAGTGTCAATGAGACAACTCTCCATCCAAGTCAAAATTTATAAAAGTAAACCATTATAGGTCAAAGTACGGTCTTCAACACGGAGCCTTGGCTCACACCGAACAGCAAGCTATAAAGGGCCCCAAAAATTACAAGTGTAAAACCATTCAAACGGGAAAACCAACGGTCTAATCTATATAAAAAACAAGAAATGAGAAACACTTATGAACCACATCAACAAACGACAACTACTGAACATCAGATTCCTGACTTAGGACAGGTGCAAACAACTGCAGCGGGTTTTAAACGTTTTAATGGTACCAAACCTTCACCTTTTTCTGAAACAATAGTGTAACATCACAACATAGAAAGACACACTATAGAATATCAACTGAAATGGCTTAACTCAATCAAAAGACATATTAACACCAGTGAACATACACTGAACAAATAAATTTGATCTATGATACAATGTAAATACAAAATAAATAAACTAAGGGAAGATCAGTACTTATCTATGATGATTAGAGTCATCCGTCATATGTATTAAAGATTATAAAATAAATTTAACAACAACTGTCCCATTAAAACCTTTTTTTCAATATTTAATTGACACTTTTGTCAAATTTTATGTTCATGTATGGCAGTTCTGCTGGATGACAGTTAGTTATCAACCAAAATTCCTGATAGATATCATAAATACCAAAATTTACCCAAAGTTTTGAAGCTACTGAATTTTCCCAGCAAAATTATTTTCTTTTTTCATTTTCATTTTTTGTTTTTTTCAAATCTTCTTTTTTGAGTAACATTAGCTTCATGTTTCATAGAAGTTGAAATTGTTAACAGCTGACAGTAACAGCAATAAAAGAGCTGTTCCTTTGTTTTTTGTGTTTTTTGCTAAGCATGTAATTATTTTGTGTCATGAATGGATACCCATATCTTTGTTTTCTATTATGATTAGTCCTTATTCCATATAAATATTTGTATTTTACAGATTACTTTTTAGTTGAAGTAGTTGTGGAATTTTGAAAACTTATCAAAAAGTTCTTATTGAATATACCCCTACACATTACTGTGATTCTAATCAGGAAATTGTATAATCTCACAGTAAATACATACAGCTAATGTCTGTGAACATGAACCTATTTCTGGTGGTATAACCTGTTCCTTGGATACTGTAACAATGCCATGTTCAGGTTGTGACAAAACAACAATTAAACTATCTTTCACATCAATGTCGTATCCTCCAAAAACAGCAGAGAACTGGTCAGACAAGATATGTCCAGTATGGTTCGTCATCTGTTCTAGGTAAATCTGAAAATAATAAAAAAAGAGCAATATTTCAAGTTCTTTTACATAAACCTAAAACTTTTATAAAGAACTGATATTTTTCTGCATACAATTTGTACTGGGTCACGGGAAAACATGTGTAAAAGTAAATTTTGCCATTCATAAAGGGGCATTAGCTACGAAATAAAAAAAAATAAAATATGATTTTTTTTTGTTCAATCATTAATGAAAGTGAAATAGTGAAATAATAATTCGCTTTTAGAAGCCAATCTGGTTTCATTTTGTCATTCAGCCATTAAAAGGAAAAGAATGTCAACCTTAAAATTAAAACAAGGATGAACCATTTGATTGACTGATTCAATCCACATACTTTTTAACCTACAATATGAAATCAAACAGAGTAAGAAAAATCCAATTGCAAGTGGTCACTATCTGTTTATATTTATATCAGGTTATATGACTGTCAGCAGTCTTCGCAGGTCATCTCGATGGTTAATTAGATGGCGTCTAGACAAAAATACACACGAAGTGTTGATACATATTATCCATGCATGGGTCCATGCATGGTTAATTGTTTATTTTAGACTTTTTTTTATTTGGATATACATTTTATTATGTGAGAATTTGAGTCAAATTGGTGAACATGAATTTGACAGCTAATGCCCCTTTAAAGACGGATAGACCAAAATTGTAAAGCTTTATTTTATAAAAAATATCATAAAAATGATAGAAGGGAATTTTGTGATAAGCAGTAAATCAGTGAATTATTATGAACTTAAATGAAAGAAAGTTAAAACTTGAATCACAAGTCACATTATATATGCAAACTTAGCCAATGTTGTAAAAATTTTAATGCACTTTTAGGCATGATTCTATGGGGTCTGTGCAGAAGATTTCAAAATTTAACACTATCAAGCTGCAGAACGAATATAAAATCTATCCCTTCAATAGGAGCCATGAAAAGTTTGAAAATTTTCCTTGTACAATGAGTGCTGTAAAATTTCAAACTGTTAACAAACAGGAAATGGTTGCACAATAAATGTAAAAATTGCTTACTCACAACAACTCAACATTATCAGGCTGCATACAAAAAATTTAACAGTTCCCCTGCATAGAAGCCAAGAAAACTTTGACAAAAATTTTCCTTGCACCATGAGTGTTGTAAAATTTCAAACTATTGGCAAACAGGAAGTGGCTACACAGCAGATGTAAAAATTGCTTACTTGCTACATCTCAACATTATCAAGCTGCAACCAAATATTAACTCATTCCCTTACATAAAAGCAAAAGAAAACTTTGATGAAAGTTTCCCATGGTCATTCAGACAGATAGAGGGTGTCGAGCTGTTACTAGACCTTGTGACGCAGGTAAAAACAAATTTTAATATTCAAACCCAAATAGCTACCATTATACTGAGGAAGGAGAACAACAAGGTGGTCATTTTGACTGGTTAAAAATGGACTGTTATCACACATTAGAACTTACCACAACTGGTTCGCTTGTATCCTGGAACAATAAAGAGCTACCATACTGAGGAAGGAAAACAACAAGGTGGTCATTATCACTGGTTAAAAATGGACTATTATTGTGACATAAGAACTTACCACAACTGGTTCACTTGTATCCTGGAACAATATAGAGCTACCATACTGAGTAAGAAAAACAACAGGGTGATCATTCTGACTGATGACATTGATTGTTATTGTGACATTAGAACTAGCTGCTGGGATGTCTGTCTGATCTTCTGTTAAGAGTATGTGTATATATTCTGTTCCTGTACAGTCTGTACATGGAGTATACAATAATCTTGAAAAGAAATAGATAATAGATATATACCATATTTGGTCATGTATTATACACACTTCATTACCCAAGCCCGTTGATAGAGGGGATGCATATTAAACATATCTGCATGTAGATGGTTTTAATTTTTTTTTTTTTTTATGCATAATTACGTTTTTGTCTTCATTATAGTATATTGAAGACGTTTTTTTATTTAGTTTATTGTTATAATTTTTTTAATAACATTTTTGTTCTTCATTGTTGAATATTTAAAGAACAGGTGTGATATCTAAAAGTAGTAAAGGGGAGCGGAAAAACTATCGGCCAATAACATTACTATCCCGTCTAGGTAAAATATTTACTTCCATTTCAAGAAATAGACTTTGTGATTATTTAGATGAGTTTTTAATTTTACAAGAAAATCAAGCAGGTTTTAGACCAGGATACAGGACAAATGATCATATTTTTGCTCTTTATGCCTTTTTTGAACTCTTGAAATTGAAGAAGAGAAAGTTTATTGTGCGTTTATTGATTTTCAAAGAGACTTTGATTCTATTCAAAGAAATCTCCTCTTATTCAAACTTTTGAATAAAAATATTGACCGAAAGTTTTTCCAAGTTATACAAAATATATATAAAGATATAAAATCCTGTGTTGTCTTCAATAATGAAAAATCTGACTTCTTCCCTTGTGAAATTGGTGTATGACAAGGTGCTTTGTTTTCTGTATATTTTAATGATTAACAAGCATTTTTAGAAGAGTTAGATACAAAAGGTTAGCAATCAATAAGTGCAGACATACAAAATGAATTAGATGTGTATCTCAAGATTTTACTACTATTATATGCTGATGACACTGTTTTATTAGCGGATAGTAACACTGAACTACAAAATATGTTAAACAAATTTGCCATATATTGTAACAAATGGCAACTTAAGGTAAATGTTGATAAAACAAAAGTTCTTGTTTTTACAAACGGTAGAATCCCACATAATTTGATTTTTTTTATCATTGATACTGAAATTGAGATTGTTAAAAATTATAAATATTTAGGAATATTTTTCTTTAAAAGTGGATCATTTTTACAAACTAAAAAATACTTTCGAGACCAAGGAATAAAAGCTATGTATTCTATCTTGAAGAAGAGTAGAATTAATAATTTATCTATTGAATGTCAACTGGATCTCTTTGGTAAGGCTGTTGTACCTATTTTATTATATTGGTCAGAGATTTGGGGTTTTGAAAACTTTGACCTACTAGAGCAGGTGCACCTAAAATTTTGCAAACTTATTTAACTTATGAAGCAATCTACCCCAGACTGTATAGTTTATGCTGAACTTGGCGGATTCATAATTTTTCTTTATGCAAAAGTTCGTATGATAAATTTCTGGGGCAGAATTATAAACGGTAAGTAAATGGTTGATTTATATAAAAAATGTTTTAGATAACTGTGGTATGTCAAATATTTGGGACATGCAGTTTGCAGACAAATGGGTATCAAAAAGTCTGAAACAAAAAACCAAAGATGAGTTCACACAATTATGTTTGTCACAGGTAGATAGCTTACCTAAATACCTATGTTACAGAATTTTATAAGACTAATCTGAAATTTGAGAATTATTTCAACATATTACCTAATAATTTATTATTTGTTTATTGCAAATTTAGATGTGGAAGTCATCAATTACCAATTGAGACGGGAAGATGGCGAGGCTTGTCTCGAAACGACAGACTTTTTCATCTCTCCAACTCAAGTGATATTGGTGACGAATATCATTATATCATGACTTGTAAAGCTTTGGATGTAGAGAGAAAGAAATTTTTACCAGAATATTGCTGTAAAAATCCAAATACATACAAATTTAATGGTTTATTTAATTCAGACAATACTATCGTTTTAGACAAGATTGCACACGCTGAAATGTCTCGCCTTCTTTACTGACCATTGATTTTTATGTTGATAGTCCTAATATAAAGCTTTACTACAAGTATCACATAAATTTAACATGATCCAAGAAAATGAGGTCAAGGTCAGATAAACCAAACCGGAAATACATGTACGCCTTACAATCATTCCATACACCAAATATAGTTGACCTATTGCTTATAGTTTCTAAGAAACAAACTCAACCAGGAAAATGTAACATTGACCAATGAACCATGAAAACTTAACCATGAAAATGAGGTCAAGGTCAGATGAAGTATGCCAGACAGACATGTACACCTTACAATCAATCTATGCATTAAATATAGTTGACCTAATGCTTATAGTATCTAAGAAACAAAATTAACCATGAAAACTTAACATTGACCATTGAACCATGAAAATGAGGTAAAGTACAATGGACAAATGACAGACGGAAACTTCATAACATAAGGCATCTGTATACAAAATATGAAGCATCCAGGACTTCCACCTTCTAAAATATAAAGCTTTTAAGTAGTTAGTTAACACCGCCGCGGCCACCGGATCACTATCCCTATGTCGAGCTTTCTGTGACAGAAGTCGCAAGCTCGACAAAAAATTATGTAAATTTATAAAAATTGTAGAGGTGAAAGTCAGTCCTTCAAGTTAAGTTTGTTCCCACATGTGCATATTTATATATAGATATATGTAATTGTAAATATATTTTTTCCGTAACTATGATATGTAGTTTTATTAAAATAAAGTTCATTCATATCTAGATCTTGCATCAGCTTAAGGGGTTATTAAGTGTGGTGTGTATAATAGCAATTAAATAATCATGTCAAATTTTGAAAAGAGGTCAATATAATATAGTCTGGCAGTGCTCCAAATCAACATGATAAATAAAAAGAAAATATGGAATTAAAGAGTTTTAACATTTTAAAAACTGCTAATTAATTTAATTTAGATAAGTGTTTGATCTCTATTTCTTTTTGTTCCATAATATTCCAAGTAAAGGTTAATCTATGAAAAGGTATATACTATTTAATTTACAAAATTGAAATCAATTAGATTGACATTTAAAATAATAGGTGGAGACCATGTTTAATCCTACTAGCAGTTACCATTAGGAATTATAATTGCTGCTGTAATGCCTATGGTACAATTTCAGATAATGAAAGTCATTTATCTTTAAACAGTAAATGATAAGTAACAAAAAAACAAAGGAAACTCATAGTTTCTGTTCCATGACAGTGAGCAAAAAATTAAAACACAAATTTGATACCCATTACCTTACTACATGTATAACATCCTGACAAACCAAATAAAAGTAACTGACAAACAATAGAAAAGACAAATGGATACAAATATACCCCAACTCTGTGAAACTGGTTGATCTATATGTATCAAACTATAACTTACATTCCATCAGTAGTGAGACTTGGAGTACCAATTGAGTAGGTAGAATTTTCTAAATAAAACAAAATGGTGTCTTGATCATCATCTGTAGCTTCTAGTAAATACTGAAGAGTTCCTGAAATGTATACATTGCAGTTTTAATAGTTGTCTTTACAAATTTGATTAGCAGTCAAGGCATATATGTTTAAATTTAAATACTCTAGCCTGCTAATATCTAATTGGTAGAAGACAGCAAACAATGATAAACATTATATATATATAAATATATTTCTTTATGATTGATTGTATGATTTTTGTTTGCTTAACATCCAGTGGCAAATATTTGGATAAAAGACATGTTGGTCAAGGGTTACACTTAATACCCCCATCACCTAAGGCGGGGGCATTAAAAACAAAAGGGAGCTTATTTTAATAGATATAAATCAGTCATCAAAGTTTCATGAAAACTGCTCAAAGCATTTTTGAGTTATTGTCCGAAAACTGGAAAATTCCCCCATTTTTATGATTAAAATCCCATAACTAGGAAACGTGAAATCTAAAATTTGTACAAATCGAAAGTGAGCTTGTCAATAGAATCACACAATTCACAAGTTTCATGAATATTGGTTAAAGCGTTTTTAAGTCAATGTCCAAAATGTTAACGACGGACGAACAGACATAATACGTCCCATAAAATGATCTTTTTAAAAAGATATGTGGACAGGTTAAATGCAGCTGTCCCAAATGAGGAGCTATGTTGGCCTGAAAATGTCTTTGCATATGGGTCTATGATTTTCCCTAATCATCTTTCCCATACAATTATCTGTCACCAAGAACTCAATTGCTGAAATCCTGAATGGTGTCGTTTGGTTTTATTTGTTGTCTTTGCAGTAAGTCCAGAAAAAGGACTTCAATTAGACGAGCAATGATTTGGATGCCGATTTTAGAGAGAAAAAATGTAATTTGATTAGAGGGGATCAAGGATCAGCCATCAATTTGGAGTCTTATTTTATTATCATTTCAGATCAGAATTCAATTTGAGAGAAGCTCAATCGGACTCAAAATTTATATTTTACCACTACATCCAGTGTGATAAGGCAATTTTCTGCTAAAACAGTTCAAATTTTAATGGAGATGATATGTTTACAGACCTACTCGACCCTGAAAATTCACATTAAAATGCAATCATCAAATAATATCATCTATTACCATTTGTCATGCCTGACATATGGCTTGAAGAAAATGTAAATATAAGGTTGTGTTTCAAGACATAATTTAAATTTGAAGCCATTATTGGGATTTTCTTAACAATGCAAAGCAATATATACATAAGAACAAAATATACCTCCCATAACAGCTTACCTGAATCTTCCTCCATAGTTATAGAATTAAGGCTAATCAATTTTGGTGGTGTATTGTATATAGATGATGATACCATCGATAAGGAGAACTGGGTCTCCTCTGTGAAATATTCTGTTTCTACAATAGACCTTTTCTTACGACTGTTAGTAGAATTATCACCTTTTGAACTCCAGGTTCTACAAACCTGAAATGAAAGAAAGAATCATCATTGTTAAAGTGTTCAGGATAAGTTGGCCAATAAGGCCAAAAATAGTAAAAATTGCCTTTCAAAGTCAAAAGTAAACTGACAACGCTCCATCGTCATCTATGAAACAGATATTCCATAACGGTCAACCAATTCGTGAAGGTGTCTGTAAAATTTTCAAAGGGTTGATTTCAACTTCACCACTTGGAACTCTTGGTTTAACAGCTTCCTTGTGAGCAGCAACCCTCTATCGAGGCATTTCAAGAGAATAATAACTCTTTGACTTATTTATAGATCTTTTCTTAACGATAATTTTTGCACTTCAATATTTTTCTCTATCTTTTACAGTTTTCAATATTACAACCCCTCATCCCCGAAAAAGAAAAAAACCCCAAAAAATAAGACGGTGTCAAAATGAAGGCAAACCAGGTTTTTACTATATTATTGTTATGCATTGTCAAAGTAATGAAGAACAATTACTTCAGGACATCAAAGTGAAAATAGTCAATATTGAATGAATTATCAAACTTAATAATCAGTAACCAGTAACATATATATCAAAATTTAAAAAGCCTTGGTTGAAAGGTTCATAAGTAATTTAAAAATGGAAGCAACTAGAGTCGCAGACGACATTCAACCTCAAATCTATCCCGGATTTCCATTTGGAAAACCTAGTTCAAAATGGACAAAAATTGGCATTTAAGGGAAATAATTGCTATAAGGAGTAAACTTCCCAGAAAGGCTATGTGAAATTCTTCTTAATCACTTTTGTAACTTACAGTTTCTACTTTTAAAGATAATAGCCAAGTATGCATACTAATGGTGAAAAAAAAATCTTCATTTTAGGGCAATAACTCTAAGGAATCGGGTGACTTTTCTGGTCAAAATAAACATAAGGTAGATTTTGACATTCTGAACATTTTTGCCCTGCCAGAATTTCTCGACCTATATCAGTTTTTAAGATCTTAAACCAATACTAGCATTTTATCGCTTTGTTCTATTTTTAACCAAGGCGGCAAGGGTTCATCTGACATAGTTTATAACTATAACTATAAATACATGATAGTGCATGTTTGGTTGTAATTGGCCTGATATTTCCATAGAAGATTTTATAACAGACATAAAGGGACAGACACAAAGGTGAGCTCAATTGCTAAAACATGTGAAAATCATCATTTATTCACAATAACCTATGTAATGAGTCCTCTGACAATTTTTGTCTAAATTGGTGTATAGGTAGACTGTATATTTTGATATGAAAAAAGGAGATATGAGATACATGTCAATGAAACGAACATTTTTGTCATTGCTAGATTTTCTATATGTTTATGACTTTCAAGATATAAGACAATACCTTGCATTTTTACCTTATGTTCTATAATAAGCCACAGCTGCAATTTTTCTATTTTGCTTAGCCAGAAAATAACACAGTTTAAAACTAGACACCAAGAAGATGGTTGTGGCCAAGTTTGGTCCAGATTGACCAAATAGTTTCAGGTGAAAATTGTTAAAGAAAAAATCTGTGTCCATAGGGCAACATGATAAACTTGTACAATCACATTTCCATAGTTAATTGACTGTAAAATCTTGATTAAAACCATAATTTGGTATATATATTCTACAAAGTTCTCATCATAATAACAAAAACCTATTACATCTGGATACTTAAAGCATGCACAAGGGATATAACTTCTGATTGACAAACACTTAGTTGTAGTTGATATGGTATATTAAAAGGAGATAATGATAGCAGATGCTGCAATAAATAAATGAACATTTTCAACACCATAATTTCTTCCCACAGTTAAAGATTGAAATGTCTAAGGCCTTCATGTTAAACTTGCCAGAATGGAAGTACTTCCATCAGAATTTGTAGTTTCTTTATTACTATGGTCAGCACATGTCTCACTGGTCAGCTCCCATTGATTATTCACTAAAAATATACCAGTGGATAATTAGAGAAATTTACAATAAATGATCACAATTATATCAAAATTAAACTATGACTCATGGATGGCAAACTAATATTGTGCAATGGTAAGTCAAACTAGCTATATATATAGAGACCTTTGAGAATTGTAAAGTGTGTGCAAAATTTTCAAAAATGCAAAGTTGCGACAACATTTAGGTTATTTGAAAGATCAATCAATTCTGAAAGAGAAAACATCTACATGCAGACACACTTTTTAAAATTAATTTACAAACATAATTCTGTTAAATTGGCATGCATAATTTCTGAGATACAAATTGAATCAAAAAATTTTACACTGACAACTGGAATTTCAAAAAAGGATAATTAGGCAAACAGACTATAATGGTTTACTTTTATAAAATTTGACTTGGATGGAGAGTTGTCTGTCTCATTGGCACTCATACCACATCTTCTTATATCTATATATGATAGATGGCTATATCCACCTCACACAAAACCTTAACATCAAATATAGTTATTATGGATTCATTATGTTTCATTGGATACCAATTTTCGTGGATTTCGTTGTTATAGGGGAACCACAAATTTAAATGCTCAAATTACAAATTTTCCATAGGCTTTAGCAAAACCACGAAATTAAATATCCACGAAAGTGTAAGTATCTATGAAAATTGATACCCACGAAAAATAAATGAATCCACAGTAACATATTATGTACTGTTTCTTTGATATCAACCATATCTTCAAATAAACCTGACAAATTTTCTTAAAATCTAGCTGACAAAAAAGTATGAAAGTGAGAATAGTTATCAAAGGTACCAGGATTATAATTTAATACGCCAGACGCGCGTTTCGTCTACATAAGACTCAGAAGGTGCTTTCAATATATATGATCCATAACATTTGCATTTGTAAGAGAATAAGTCCCATAATAAGGCATATAGAGGCAATACCACCACACTTTATGTCTTATAATTAAATGAAAAATCAAGCATTTTCCAAAATAAAAAATTACCAATTTAGACTTATTTAACACATGAAGTCACATTCTTTATCCATCAATTCCAACCCATTTTAGTACTCGTGTAAAAATTTGATTGCATAAAAGGAAATTAACTTGCCTGGTAGAAGGTTGAATGGCATTTTCTACTTTCAGTTTTGTTTTGAGGCCAAAGAAGTTTCTCCACTTCAAGTGTATTAAATTCTTTTTAAAACCAACTCATATAATTAAAAAAAGTTGAACTGCAAGCTACTGCTATTAAATGATATCCCTCTTATAAGATTTCAGTAAACAGGAAATTGAAGAGCAATGTATGTGAAAATGCATTACAGGGTAGTATGCTCACAGGAAAGATGATACCAAATGCATGGTGCTCTGATTCATAGTAACTGAGAAAATGCAAAGGATATTGATTGAGTAAAAATATATCAGTATTGGGAAGAAAACTCATCATACAATAAAGCATCATCAGGGGAGGCTCAGAACTAAATTTTAGGAAGCTTTGCTTGGTAGTTCCTGAGAAAAATGTGATGGAAATTTCATACAAGGTCATATAATGTGTAAGAATATAAAATTATAAGTATTTTGTAAACTAGAAGTTGATGACAAATATGAACAAAAATGTGTCCATAGTAAACGGATGTCCCACTCGCATTATCATTTTCTATGTACAGTGGACCGTGAAATTGGGGTCAAAACTCTAATTTGGCATTAACATTAGAAAGATCATATCATAGGGAACATGTGTACTAAGTTTCAAGTTGATTGGACTTCAACTTCATCAAAAACTACCTTGACCAAAAACTTTAACCTGAAGCAGGACACACAGACGAACGAACGGATGAAAGAACGAATGGACGCACAGACCGAAAAATATAATGCCCCTCTATAAAAACCTCTTATAACATGATCAATGTACTCTCAGATTTTTACTTAGTGTCTTTTTTGTTGTGGGATGTATAGATACACTGCCACGTCCATTCTGTGTTCTCGGAAGATGTTTTCTGCTTTGTATCGATCTGATGAGTTATGCCCTTTTCAACTGATTTTTATAGTTATTCTTATTTTGTAATGTTACACCACTGTCCCAGGTTAGGGGAGGGTTTGGAAACTGCAAACTAGTTTAAATGATAGTTGTATCATTGGCAATTAATATTTATCATATACCACATCTCAATAATTTTATACAGGAAGCTTTCTACCAAATTCAAGTAAGCTATGATTTGTAGTTTTTGAGCAAAATATGATGGATATTTCATTTGAAAGATGGACAGGTTTGAAACAGTGCACCCCACCTTCCTTAGCACAGAGGTATATTTATGTCTTTCTTAGTTTGCCTTGCCTTCAATGTCATAATTTTACAAGGAAAACAATTAGTTTTGCAATGAAATGTCAGGTGGATTATACACAACACAAGTGAAGTAATTTTTTTAATTTACTATTTTCACATGCAGCTGCTTGTGATGTACTAGTATCTGTGGTATTACAACTGCATATTTCAATTAATCAATATTATACCTGGATTCCAATGTGTCAACATGATCCGTTGATCTTCATCTGAAGTGGTATCAAAATAAGTTATGTTGACTGGTCCTGGCATAGGTAAATGTCCAATTGGTACCAGAGTAAAGGAAAATATACTTGTTGATAATCTGAAATAAAAGAATAAATAAATGGTCACTAGGGGCTCCCTTAATAAAGTTTATTGCAAACTTGTTTCATTGAACCTAGTGTGGTAATTAATTAATCTGATGTACGTTTTTTCTAGCATACTTACAATCCTGTTAAAAATGAAAAAAAAAAATCAATATCTCTAAAATAAAATTTTGAATCAAAACCAAAAAGTATACAAATCTTTAGATTAATATAACTAAGAAGTGTGTAAAATTTTAAGCAATAATCATAAATCTTTTTTGAGATACGGTGCAACATGTGAAAAACCCCTCCCCCTTTTTTTACAAAATAATCAATAACTCAAAAATAAAATTTTGAATCATCACCAAAAAGTAAACAGATCTTAAGATTAATATAACTAAGAAGTGTGTAAAGTTTTAAGCAATAAATTATTTTTGAGATACGGCGCGACATGTGAAAAAAAAACACTTACCTGTTTTAGTTACTAAGTCCCGTAACTCAAAAAGTTTTAATCTTATTTTCACCAAAAAGTATACAGATCGTTTGACCATCATAAGAAACAACTATCTTAAGTTTCATGAAATTTGGATAAGTCGTTCTCAAGTTACGGTGCGCCATGTTTACGCTGGACAGACAAACGGACTGACGGACAGACGACATTTGTATACCATAATACGTCCCGTCAAAATTTTGACGAGCGTATAAAAACCAACACCTATGTCTCCGCTTCTGCAGCTTTTGTTGTAGGCGAGACAACATTGATTCATATAGATTTTGTCCTTTTATTATATACACCTACCTTCTATATAGAAGTCTGTCTACTAAGTCCATTGTATCATTAGGATTTACTATATAGGGTTGGAACTCTGCTGAGGATACTGAATCATAAACAGTGGTTAAATCTGTACTATCTAATGGTTCCATCAATATACTCTGTCCAGAGGCAAGTCCTGAAAAATACCAAAAACATTTAAATCGGTTTCAGCTAATGGTTTCATCAAGATATACAAATGTCTAGAGAAAACTTTTGAACAAAAAGTAACATAGCTGTAAATGTATAAAATCAATTAAAAAGGTTAAAACTGAATTTTAATCAGCAGCACAATCAATATCGTTCCACTTCTTACCAAGATAACAAAACTTCATATGAAATACTCACCATCAGGTGTAATTAAAACAAGTGTATCCCCTAAACTCCTCCTCTTCCTCCTGTTACTAGACATATCATACTCCACCTCCAGAGGTTCACCTCCCACTGATGTCTTCATCACAGCTTTATCATTCATCATTGTAACTGTTCCCAAGGACTTATTACTACATAGATAGGCATCATTACAAGCTCTGAGGGTTATAAACAGAGTTCTCCCTGGCTCCATGTGGAATGTATTAGAAGAAGAACTACTCTGGTCTTTTCTGAGCTCATGTAAGTCATACAATTTATACTCATTCATGAAAATAGAGCCATTCTTTATTAAAACTGTACCAGACATGTTTACACTGATGTAGGTACAAGGGAAAATATCATCTTTATGTTCTGATGTTCCAATACATATATCTGAAAGTAGCATATGAACAAAAGTTAACTGTAATAAAGAAATTCCTCACTTGTGTAATTGTAGTCAGTCTATCAAGCAAGAAAAAGAGCTGATTCTTAGCTTTCGGTTATATCAGTTGCATTTTTTTACCATTTATTAATGCACAATATTTTTCTTATCAATTTCATTGATTGTCTGTCGAAAGTTTCACAGAGGTTGATGACAATATTTATATGTAATATTTATTCTTGAAATACTTGTTCACCTTTTCCCTTTCAATCTGTTTTTTATGCAACCAATCCCAATTTTAGAGCTACATTTATACATTTTTTTCTTGCCAAGTTATCAAAAAAATATTATAACTTGCCTAGTGGTTGTCAAATGTTACAGTAGTACTTTATCAATTTTCAAATTTGTTCTGCTAAATTGATATGAAAATATTCAATAGTTTAAATTGGCTTTGAACTAGCTTTCAGTAACAGCAAGTGCTCTTAGATCAATACTTTGCGTCTTTTATTAGTTTTTTTGTCTTTGTGTCAATCTGATGAGTCAGCTGTTATACTACTTCCCAGTAAGGGGGAAAAAAGCCCCTGAAAAAAACACAACATTCCGTGTGTGTCTATTCAAAGTCAGGATCCTGGTAATTCAGTGGTTCGATCTTGATGGTTGGTGTCGGTCATATTTGTTTTTCATTTACTGTTTTATTGGTTTGCTAGTTGTCTCATTGGCAATTATACTCTATCGTCTTATTTTTTAAAATGATCCCAAAAATGTGGTGTTTAGAAATCATTGTTTTGATTAAAATGCATTTTATTATTTATATCCTTGCCTTCACTGTAAAAACAAGTTGCAATAGTGATAATGCTTTCACTATGATAAATCTTACCATATCTTGTTACTCTTTTATCCTCACTCAGGGAAAATGAGAAGCCTATAGTGTCAGGGTCTGTACCACGTTTAGAATCTGAAGGGGTGACAGGTTCATCAAAATCTTCAGCTCCTACCAGTGTGGAATTGATGGCTTGAACATCAGGAGGTTCAAGAAGAGCTATCACACCTATTAAAAGTCAAATGAAATGAATTGTTGAAGACATAATACCAGTATAATCCCCTTACACGAAGAAATGTTTAAATGTCCTTCCTTTACTTCAGAAGACCTTGTGTTTAGGTTAGTGTTCAGTTTAGGAATAGGGTTAGAATAGGGTTATGATATAAGGACGTTAAAGTAAGCTATGGGTATTGGTAAGGTTTGGAGCAAGGTTAGTTTAGCATATCCCTAAAATATGCTGAGTCTCCTAGAGTATATGAAGTCCATTGTAATGGCCATTGTTCAATGCAATGCAGTATTCTTCAGCAGCAATATTTAAACAATAGCTGGGGCTACCTTAATTGGCTTCCAGTAGTAGGGAGATCCTACTTTCCAAATTATGTGCCTTCTTTATTTTCTTGTTCAAGTGTCTTTTTCATCCTGTTCCTAGCTGAAGATTTCTTTTGCACATTTTACTTTTACTGTGACTTGACTGTAAGTGTTGCTCTCCACCTATTGCATTTTTTTTTCTCAAAATTCTGACCAAATTGCAATTTGTTTTATAATACCAAACTGTTCAACAGGACAGATATTTGAACAAACTGCTGTAGAAAACCAGTCAAGTCATGAAAGTGCAAGGTGATAAAATGAAGCATACTTACAATCCTATAAGACTTCATTCCACTTCAATTATATAATGAAAAATCAGTCAACAATTTTTATACAAATTGTATTGTAATTGTCATGCTAAAGGTGATAGGTAGTAATTTTGAATTGCTATAAAAATGTCCAAACTAAGCTTTCATACAATTTTTCTTTTGAAAAGTCTTCTTCATTCATAAGAATCAGAAATCATTTGAATTAAAACATCTTATATTCAGTAAAATATATGTGAAATTACAATACGTTGTTATATATTCAAAAGAATGATGATTTTAGGTTATCTCCCATGGAAACTTTAGAGGTAGATGAATTTCCTCTTGTAAGCTATTATTCTACCTGTATTATCATTCCACTGTGTAATTTGTCCTGCTCCATTCTGACATATTATAGAGACGTAATAAGTTTGGTTACTTTGCAGTACTCCCTCTAGTGAGCTGTTTATACCAATCTGTCTGACACCTAGTGATGTAAATGGTTGTATCTCCTCTCCACCAACTGTTGTCCCAATAGCCCATGAATTATTCTGAGTTAGAAATATATCAAAATAAAGTTGTCCACCATAAGTATTTGTAAAACAAGAATGTGTCCATAGTACAGGGATGCCCCACTCGCACTATCATTTTCTATTTTCAGTGGACCGTAAAATTGGGGTCAAAACTCTAATTTGGCATTAAAATTAGAAAGATCATATCATAAGGAACATGTGTACTAAGTTTCAAGTTGACTGGACTTCAACTTCATCAAAAATGGGGCCTCGGTGGCTGAGTGGTCTAAGTAGTCGAACGTCTGTATCACTAGCCAGTCAACACTGAGGTTGTGAGTTCGAATCCAGGTCAGGTGCACTCGACTCCAATCTTAATTGACAAGGATTGTCAGTATTCCTACCAAAGGTCGATGGTTCTCTCCGGGTACTTCAGCTTCCTCCACCAATAAAAACTGACCGCCACGAAATAGCACAATAGTGTTGAAAGTGGCGTTAAACACCAATCGATCAATCAATCATCAAAAACTACCTTAACTCAAAACTTTAACCTGAAGCAGGACAGACGGACAAATGGACGGACTGACAGAAGAACGGACGCACAGACAAAATAACATAATGCCCCTCTACTATTGTAGGTGGGGCATAAAAACAAAATGGTCATGAGTACACTTGAATCTGCACATGAAAACAACTTTTGAACAACTAACAAAATAAAAAATGCCTACCTTAATAATTTGTGATGTTTCCTTTTAATACTACTCATTACTCATAAAATCCTCCTAGGAAGGCTGTTATTGACAGATTTAAGTAAATTTACAGTTAAATTGTCCCATATGTATCAGATTTCACGTTCTAGGTCTTTGGTGTTATTTATGTTTTGAGTACTTTTTTGCAATTCCCCTCATTATTTTAATGAATAGTTATGGCGGAATACTGTAGCTGTATATGAAATATATATTTCTATTGACATAAAAGTAACAAGTCTCACAAAATATCATGTAGGAGGATGTAACCTTGTTGATTGTTTATTCAATACACTGTATTTAGTAAAATCCTTGAAATGAAACTTGATCAAACTGAGAAATGTGATGGGAGCCATCACAGAGGGCCCTGTTCAGGTAAACAAGTCAATTGTAACAAGTTATTCTATTTGAACATAGCTTATACCCACAGAAGGCAGAAATTTTCTGATGCACCCCTATCTGATCCCAAAACTGCAAGGGGTTTTTAAAGTTTGAGAGCTAGAAATATTTTTTTTTACATATGCACAAGGCTTGCATACATTGCTTAGTTGTTTATATCTTATTTTCATTCTAATGCTTCTTTAGCTGTCTCTATATAATTATTTGTTTTCCATTTAGAGATATCTGGTTGTATAAAGTAGTTGAGGGTCATAAAAGTATTTTTTTAAAGGAAATCTTAATCTGATGCTTTGACTATGTTTTCATGCTGTTCAAGATAACATTTTTGAATACTTAAACCATTTCCCATATTTCCAAGGAAATTATTCCATTTTTATTTTTTTTTTTCTTATATTTAAACCACTTCAGATTTTTTTTGTTTAAAAGCTTTTACTGCAAACTGGTTGATTTGAAAAATAAATTATGTGTCCCACTGTTCATAGTCAGAACTGCTTTAAGACACCAAGATAACTGGAGTCGGTTTCACAAAAAACTTACGACTAAGATTGATCGTAAGTATACTGAATTGTTCATGACTTACAATCAATCTTAGTCGTAAGTACTTTTGTGAAACCGACTCCTGAATCCTAATTATTTCATGTATCAGATTTGTATACTATGTACTGATTTATTTGAATAAAATATTGTTTAAACTAAGATAACTTGTATTGGTCTAACTGTTAAACATTTTGTGTATTAAAATTCTATATTCATTATTCAAAACTTTTGTGTTGCCCAAAGATGAGACCTGAATAATCGATCTTTTTGCTGCAATATTACAGTACATGAAGAATAAAAAATTGCAGCTTATAACTAAGAATTTTTAAAGGGCTTAAATTACCTTGATTAAACTTTCATCATCATAACAGTACCAGAAAGCTTTAATAGTGTTACTGGATGCTTGGTACTTCACTGGTGTAAACTCTCCTTGGGTCACATCAACATAAATCTGGCTGTTCATTACATCAGGATCAAATACAGGTGGGGTAATGTCAATGTAGAATCCATCTGATGATCCTTCAGTGGTCAGGCCATTTCCTAACAATACTCTTACTAAAAATCATTACTTACACAATTAACTGATGTCAAAATTCATTTCAAACAAACATTTTCACTAAAAGATTGGAATAAATATACTTGCTAGGGTGTCCCTTCTTAACATTATTCTACCCAATTCTAATATGACGTTCTTCTTTCGCTTTGGAAACAAAGCCATGTTCTAATTCCAATAAAACATGGGCTACATGTGACTGAAGTCACAATTGAAATTGCAATGTCAGCTGTGTTTTGAACAACACCGGAAATCAAAATGGACATTTGTTTTGGTGTTGCTCGCTAGGAAATTAAATAAAATCCTTCTAAAAGTAAGTTTAAATGTATATTTTAATTTGTTTATAGTGAAACGGTTGATTTTCTATAACGTTTTAGCTTCTTCAATCAAAATTGATGCCTTTTGAACACATATTATAGGTCCCCTTTGAAGTACAAAAGTTCTAAATTTTCCTATTAGAATTGAAATAATTCTATCATGCCGTGCTCTATGCTAATTTAAACATGGGTAGGCATTATATTTGTCAACATTTCACACCTCGCTAACGCTTGGTATAAAGATACTGACAAATATAATGCCTAATCAAGTTAAAATGAGCATAGGGCATGGCATGAAAGTATTATTTCTTAATTATATCAATGAACCCTTTAGATAGCCTGTGATTGATGCAGTCAGTGTAAAAGTGTAATGCTGACTATCAAAAACTAATTAGATATAAGAAGATGTGGTATGAGTGCCAATGAGACAACTCTCCATCCAAGTCAAAATTTATAAAAGTAAACCAAGTAGACATTAAGCCTATTTATCAGTAAAATACAGGAAAAAAAAAGAAAAAACAAATCCTTCAGGTAATATTTCCTGATCTTGAAGAAGCTTCTGTTCAAGTTTCATAACATTCCATGAAGCTTCAAAATGATGTCTTAAAAATGTATTCCCAGATCGTATGTAAATGTTTAAAAATGCAAAAAAAAAAACCACCATTTATCAGTAAAATATTTTAAATTGAAAAAATACAATTTCAAAGTTTTGCTCTAGATTCTGACTTTTGATCATAAAAATTAAACAAAATGTAATGGTCTTGAAAAAACAGAATCCTTTTTGCTAGGTTTGCAATATCTTTTTGAAAAGTCTCTGCTATTGTACAACCATAGGTTTTTTTATTATTTATTATACAATCACACTTTGATAATTAGTAAAAATACCTGTTGTATAGTATATAGCACTTTTGTTGTATAAATGTCCTGTGTCATTTTCTGCTAGAGTAAAAGGTTTCAGGGCCAGATTTGACAAATTGAATGTAACAAGTGTTTGCTGATTAATATCACAATCAGAATGACAGTTTGACAAAGAGCACTGTGTATTGCATGGTATACATGGTCTATATATCTCTTTATATGGTACAACATCTGATTGTAACTTTTCTGTACCGATTCCAGCCTCATACTTTATTACTGGATTAGTACCTCCTCTGAATGGGTTACCATAGCGACATTTATTGCCAATTTTAGGTGGAATAATTAGGTCTTTGAAGTATGCTTTAGCTGAGAAGACATTAAATAAGTCAGATGTATCTGGTACATAGTTGTTACGATTCCATACATGAAGTACAAGTTTGGCAGAAGTACTAGGTGGTTCTATACCACAGATTTCTGTTAATTCTTCATCATCTGCATACACCAATATACACCAGTTTATCTGCAACGAGAAATGTAAAGAAAAAAAATCTGCTAATTTCCAGCCCCCTAAATGTTACTTTTATAAAGGAATTTATTTAAGACCCACCATCTATCTTAAATGCACCTGGACGAAATGGGACGCCCGTAAATGACACGGAAACCAGGCGTAGAAATCATACTTTATTAGGGCGTCATTGTAGTGTTTACGGAATGCATGTCCAGGTGTCAACCAGGCGTAAACCAGGCGGAAACCAAGCGTAACTGAGGCGGAAACCAGGCGTAAAATTAGGCGTAATATTTAAATGAGTACGCCTGGTCCACAGAAAACCAGGCGTTATATGCAAATGAGTACGCCTGGTCAATAAAAAAAAACAGGCGTAATATCCTTACATAATACTACACTTATTTTAAATCAGTGTATTACCCTAGCTGTGTACTTTTGTGTATTTGATACAAACTTCTGTACTATTGCTTAAATTTCTCATTGTTTGACATGAAACTTGAAATATTAACTATTAATTGAAGAAGCTATATAAATAAATACATACATGTATTGGACAGACACTGGCTCAAATAAGTTTAAGTTTAAATTAGAATTATAGCAATTAATTCTTCCTGAAATAAAACCAGCATTTTAACTAAGTTTTTTTTTTGAAAATTAATGTCATTTGAACCAAAATATCAATGATAATACTGCAATTTAACTTAATGTGAAAGATTTTAATGTTATCATCCAAGGATGAAGGTTTTCAGAATTCAAAATTACTGTTTAAAAATAAAACTTAGTTACTCACATAATTATCTTTTACCATGTATATTACTTTCCTTTTATTTCACAATTTTCATTAATCAATTTGATTCCATAATTCCAATTTCAAATTCTTCCAAATTATCCCTGAATATATAAAGCTGCCATAAGTCCAACTCTTGCAAAATAATACCAAAGAGCCAAATTTTGAAAAAAAAATCCCATGATCCTTTATCAACAAAGCATTATGGGTATTATGATTTACGCCATTACAACAGTTTTACGCCCGTAGGAAAATTTATGCCTTGCTTATTTCAATTTACGCCAGGTTTACCATATTTTCTACGCCCGTAAGGACTACAAATTTACGTTTCCTGTTCCCTTACGCCTGGATCTGGACACGTAACTACCACTTACGCCTGGTTTACGCCAGATTTCCAGGCGTAATACGCCTTATAATTTCGTACGGGCAGGGAATGGCGAATAACCCTAAACATTAACAATGTGCATTGTGGAACCCTTTTATTCACTGGTGAATAACCATTTGAGCATTTCGTTTTAATCTTAAGTTATCTACCATAAAAATGACTCTGATGAAAAGCCCTACAGAGCTTATTTTGTGTTGGTATATGTTTATCTGACTTTAAATAAATCTTTTATGCTTTATGACATCAATGAAGTATGCAAATAAACTGTTATCACAGAGATATGTCTCGCCTTTTTGTAATTTTGATAATGCAAATGTTGAAATTAAAATAGCAAAACTTTATCATGTAAGTTATGCAAATATTCAAAGTCGATTAACCATGACTGAAGGTATATGGTTAAACAATCTCCATGGAATGAGATGTGCCGATGCTAATACAACTGCATACCAAATACCATTGACTTATTATAAGTCGTTCCCTTTAAACAAACCTAAACACAAACATTAACTTGTAAACTATGTAAAAGTTTCAAAGTCAATGAACCATGATAAGGGGTGGGGCTATATAATCTCCATGGAAACGATACTTGCAAATGCCAATAAATCTGCATGCCAAATATCATTGACTTAACATTAGCAGTTCATCTTAAACTGATCTAATCACAAACTAATACATGTAAACTAAGCAAAAGTTTCAAAGTAAATAGACCATGACTGAGGGGGCGGGGCCAAATATTCTCCATGGAAATGAGATGTGCTAATGATTATACAACTGAACACCAATTAACATTGGCCTACCACTAATGGTTCCCCTTGAACTGACCTAATCATAAACTAATTCATGTTAACTTAGCAAAATTTTCAAAGTCTATAGACCATGACTTAGGGGGCGGAGCCAAATAATCTCCATGGAAATGAGATATGACAATGCTTATACAACTGCATACCAAATATCATTGACCTACCACTAGTGGTTCCCCATAAATTGACCTAATCACAAACTAATACATGTAAACTATGAAAAGTTTCAAAGTCAATAGACCTTGACTGAGGGGGCAGGGCCAAATAATCTCCATGGTACTGAGATGTGCCAATGCTAATTCAACTGCATACCAAATATCATTGACCTACCACTAGTGGTTCACCATGAACTTAACCTTATCACAAACTAATACATTGTTGACGCTGCCGCCGTCGCCGCCGGAAACAGCATACCTATGTCTCGCTTTTTGACTCCGTCAAGGCGAGACAACAAAATGGCAAAGAGTCTTTTGGACTGGTTTGGAAATTACCGTATAACGGGTTATTTTCACAGGTGTAAAATTTCAGGATTTAGGGGCATCAAAGCATACGAAAAATTTAAGCGGTTTTTATTATGGCGGATTCTTTAATCCCAATTAAATATTTTGGCGGATACTGAAATGGTTGCAGTTAAAAAGTTGTAGAAATTGACAATGTTATGGTTAAATGATTGTTTTACCTGCATGACATCTTATTTATTGATTATATTTGATACAGTTAATCAATAGAATACCGGTACTTAGAAATTGGTCACAGGTGTACAAACTTCTGGTAAATGTTACAGTTGATTAGTTACGAAATTGACCGGACCTTTGATGTACTAATTAGATCATGAATTTATCATGAGTGACTTGCGACTTATATATAATTGAAACTAATTAATAAGGATAAAATACATGACAGTATACCTTACACTCTTATATTATTAATTATTTTATTATGTAACCAATTAACCAAATAACACCTGACAGCAAGGGAACAATGGCCTTTTGCATTTATGCTGGTTAAATTAACAGAAACCATTATTGATCCGACGAACAGAAAAAATAGATAGTTTTCAAAACGCTTTAGCTATTAGAAAGAAGCGACCGTATGCATAAATTTTCACGGAATTTAATTTCGCGATTTCCCCTTACCCGCCAAAATAAGCGAAAATAAACACCCCGCAAAAATAACCCGCTATACAGTATCTCCCTTAAAAATGTAGTACCAGACTTTTATTCCTTCATGCAAATCCTCCGGTAGTATTTTTCAACTGTGTAAAGTTTCTTCACTATCTGTTTAGTTGTTAAGGGGGAGATGCACTTACAAGGAACATGGACAGACAGACAGACAGACAGACAAGACGGACAGGCAGAGATATTTCTGTATATCTCCAAAATCTTTGGTGTATAACTACATTAACAGTGTTTTTAGTCCCAAAATACATACATTTACTTCATCGTCTTTCAGAGGACTGACTACTACTTTGTACCGGTGATAGTTGGCCGATGGATCAAAAGATAAATCTATTTTAGCCTTCATTAATCTCTGTGTATTGTTGTAGGCCTGGCACCAAGTAACTACTTGAGGTACATCACCTGAAATAGTATGTTAATAACCAATTATAACTTATATATCTGATTTGAATAAATCAATCAGCACTAAATAAACAGGGGTTTTGTTTAAGGTGTAATCATTCATATAGCAACATTTGCTAGCAGCAGACTATGAAATTTCTGTGAATATATACTATTAAATAACCTATGTATCACAAAAGATTGCTGAAAGAATTTCAACAATAAAGTACAGTATACTTTTGGGCAATCTACTGTCAGCATTGACCTAGGCACCACCATTTACAAGCTGTCAAAAACCACTACAACTAAGATATTCAGGAGTAATCAATAAACTGAATATAATTCTGTTGTATTCTTCCTAGAAGTTATATCAGATCATGACTGACAAAAGATTTCAAAATAACAACAGCTCCAAACAAACAGATAATTAACAACCATAAGGCACCATTAAAGGTTTTGTAGTCAGACAGAAAGAAAATAACTCTAACCCAGGTAAGATAAACAAATCTTGTAAACGTACCTGTCAATATCTGTACACCACATGCTGTTTGTGCCACGGGAATGCCCATGTCTACAGGTTTAGTAACCACTGTTGCATCAGGACTTTTAACTATTGCATATGGAGTTTTACTTGTAGTCACAGAAGGAGGAGTGGTAGATGTCATATCACTGGCTGAACAGTTACAAAATGAGCAAGTCTGAAATTAAATGGTACAAGTATTGTAGGTAAAAATTATCTAACTGATTCATTTGTGAACAATTGCTATCTATAGTATCTTACTATAAATAAATTCAGAAACAATTCACTCTTTACAGGACTATTGAAGTCTCATAAAATCTAACTTACATCAAAGTAAGAATTTGAAATCAATGATTAATAGTTATTGGGCTCATTATTCCAAATGAGACATTTTCATTTAGTTGCAATTTGTACGAATTTGCAGATTTTTCATTAAATTATTGGTCATTTTTTCTATTTGATTGAAGGGCATAAAGCTTGAGTTAGGAAGATAACTGCTATATTTACCTTGTAACATAAAACAATATATGCCAAGTGATGGCAATAGTAGAAATGGATCAGCTGGACTGAAAATATCTACATGTCCTTGCATCTATTGAGTAACACATTATATTACTGCATTTGGTTTTGTGCATAGAAAACTCTCTTTGGTGTGACAGATTTGAATTTTCAATATCAACTCTAACTTCTACTCTTTTTTGAGACTTTTGCATAGAATCATATTAAATGATGACTATACTTTAATGGTAATATTTCTTTTTCTTTTAGCTACCACTAATTAATTATGTCAAATATTGATGTCATTGATTTGATACTGTTTCCCACACTTTTTTGTAACCTATCTTCTGCACTAGAATATTTCTCTGGACTTACCTTGCAACTGAAAAACGAAAGTTCCAAGTAAAGTTTTACAAAATAATTAGGTATTACATATGTATTGACCACAGATTTACCCTAGTTATACTTATCTATTTGGAAAATAACTGGTATACTTTTATGTTGCTCTGTTCCCAATGATGTCATTTAAAAGTGTTCTTAACAACAATGGCGTACAAGGTCAATACTCATTTTGTCAATGTCAAGCAAAATGACAGCAAATTGTTCAAGGAATGAAGAACATTTAACACTAAACAAAATCTCTGTGACACTGTAATATTCAAAGACAATAGGGAACTGTCGGGGCACTTTGTAAAAATGAAAATATTTTAGATGAGGGAATGAACATGTATGTAACCTGCAAGAGAATAATTAAAATGTTTCCACTTTTTTAAGCCATTTGTTTAATATTTTATATATAGATTATAACACATCCTTTCCCATATCTGCCCTGTTACTATCCCTCAACCCATGAGCCCTTGTCTTGAGTCTTTGGGTGATGAGGGAGTCTCAGGATAATACAATTTTTCCATATTTAAGCTTAAGAGTAACAAATTTCAAACCTCTGCCAAAGGATCTTCCAGACAACAATCACACAAATGAAGTGTCCAGTCATCTTCAGTTATGTAATTGTAAGTAGCTATACCATCTACAGGACCATCCCATAGCATGATCCCAGTAACTGGAATCCCTTTACCATCAGCTGCTTTTATTGTAATCTACAACACAAAGATAATATATTATAACAGGACCTGATGCCTTATCAACACAAATTTAGTAAAAAGGGATATATATTTAAAAGTTATCTTCAATATTTCTGTCTACCCAATTTCCCCTTTTTTAGACAACTGCCTTAGGCGTAGAATTAAATACAGGCCTTTCTCTAAACAAAAACATTTCTTAATTAAGTGTAGTTAAGTCAAAAAGCTACAATTAGGTAAAAAATAGGTCAACAAAAGTTTGGTATAGGTTCACCATTGGATGCATGATTTAAAGATTCCTACAGGAAACCATTAAGTCTATTACTAGCTGCTATGACCTTGACCTTTATTCTACTGATTCCAAAATAAACTAGAGGCTTTAAAGAGCCTGTGTAGCTCACCTTAGTCTATGTGCATATTAAACAAAGGACACAGATGGATTCATGACAAAATTGTGTTTTGGTGATGGTGATGTGTTTTGGTGATGGTGATGTGTTTGTAGATCTTACTTTACTGAACATTATTGCTCCTTACTATTATCTCTATCTATAATGAACTTGGCCCGGTAGATACAGTGGAAAATACTTTGTAAAAATTTACAAAAATTTACAAAATTTATGAAAATTGTAAAAAATTGACTATAAAGGGCAATAACTCCTTAAGGGGTCAATTGACAATTTTGGTCATGTTGCCTTATTTGTAGATCTAACTTTGCTGTACATTATTGCTGTTTACAGTTTATCTCTATCTATAATACAATTCAGGGGCAGCAACCCAACAATGTGTTGCCTGATTGGTCTGAAAATTTCAGGGCAGATAGATCTTGACCTAATGAACAATTTTACTCCCATGTCAGATTTGCTCTAAATGCTTTGGTTTCAGAGATATGAGCCAAAAACTGCATTTTACCCTATGTACTATTTTTTAGCCATGTCGGCCATCTTGGTTCGAGGGCGGGGTCATCGGACACATTTTTTAAACTAGATACCCTAATGATGATTGTTGACAAGTTTGGTTAAATTTGTCTTAGTAGTTTCAGAGGAGAAGATTTTTGTAAAAAATTACAAAAATTTACGAAAAATGGTTAAAAATTGACTATAAAGGGCAATAACTCCTTAAGGGGTCAACTGACAATTTTGGTCAAGTTGACTTATTTGTAGATCTTACTTTGCTGAACATTATTGCTGTTTACAGTTTATCTCTATCTATAATAATATTCAAGATAATAACCAAAAACGGCAAAATTTCCTTAAAATTACCAATTCAGGGGCAGCAACCCAACAATGGATTGCCTGATTGGTAAGAAAATTTCAGGGCAGATAGATTATGACCTAATGAACAATTTTATATCATCAGATTTGCTCTAAATGCTTTGGTTTCAGAGATATGAGCCAAAAACTGCATTTTACCCTATGTACTATTTTTTAGCCATGTCGGCCATCTTGGTTCACGGGCGGGGTCATCGGACACATTTTTTAAACAATATACCCTAATGATGATTGTGGACAAGTTTGGTTAAATTTGTCTTAGTAGTTTCAGAGGAGAAGATTTTTGTAAAAGATTACAAAAATTTACGAAAAATGGTTAAAAATGACTATAAAGGGCAATAACTTCTTAAGGGGTCAACTGACCATTTTGGTCAAGTTGACTTATTTGTAGATCTTACTTTGCTGAACATTATTGCTGTTTACAGTTTATCTCTATCTATAATAATATTCAAGATGATAACCAAAAACGGCAAAATTTCCTTAAAATTACCAATTCAGGGGCAGCAACCCAACAACAGGTTGTCCAATTCATCTGAAAATTTCAGGGCAGATAGATCTTGACCTAATAAACAATTTTACCCCATGTCAGATTTGCTCTAAATGCTTTGGTTTCAGAGATATAAGCCAAAATCTACATTTTACCCCTATGTTCTATTTTTAGCCATGGCGGCCATCTTGGTTGGTTGGCCGGGTCACCTGACACATTTTTTAAACTAGATACCCCAATGATGATTGTGGCCAAGTTTGGTCAAATTTGGCCCAGTAGTTTCAGAGGAGAAGATTTTTGTAAAAGTTTACGGACGACGGACGCAAAGTGATGAGAAAAGCTCACTTGACCTTTCAGGTCAGGTGAGCTAAAAAAGGGATTCTTCTTACCAAAGAACTCTTGAGTCAAAACTTAGTATAACTCAAAGAAATAAAAAGAGATTATGGCATTTCATTTGAAAGATTCTATCTGGAAACCTCAAATTCCAATCTAGCATCCTTGACTGTTCACCTACTGATCCCAAAATAAAAAAAGGGCTTCTTCTTACCAAAGAACTCTTGAGTCAAAACTTAGTATAGCTCAAAGAAATAAAAAGAGATTATGGCATTTCATTTGGGTCCGCCACCATCCTGTGAACTACAGGACCTCCTGTCCTGTAAATTTTTTGCAGCATGCAGTATTAAAATTGGGAAAAATGTGTTGCTATATCAAACACAAAATATTGTTTTCCTCCCGAGATCAATGAAAAACAATTGTCCTTATATTAATTAGGATCGCAGAAATACCCTAGTCATATATATTTATAGATATATATGGGCAACACAAATAGTAACCCAATCAGAATGCAATAATATAAAAAGCAGCCAATGAAATCACGCTTCCATTGACACACGGCGAGATTTTCTTGTCAACTATTTTATGCATTCCCTAAAAATCGGCATTTCTAATGTGACTTCTTTTTTTTTAAAACATATTATAAGACGATTTTAAGGCTCACTGGCTTGTCCCCTACTGCCTAAACCCTTTCAATATTTGAATATTTTGAAGATTTTGTATCTCGATTATCATGTCTGTTGCGTCAGTTTCCAGCATTTCTTTTTTCCCCAGTTCATTAAGCATGCACCGGAAACACATGTTGTAAACAATGCCATGCCTAGTCAAAGCACTCAGAATGCAGGATTTTGCATCTAATTTTTCAAAATTTTTCTGGGGGGGGGGGGGTGGGGGGCATGCCCCTGGACCCCCTAGCAAGTTCGCAGCGTTTCGCGCTGCTCACCAGAGATATTAAGTAGGTCCTGTAACAGCAATGAAGGTCCAGTAAAAAATATTTGTTACTGGACCTCCTGACCTGTTAAAACAATTAAAGTTTGGCTGGGTCTGGTGCCAGTGATATTCTGTTTATCTCTCCAATGGACATTTCTAAACCAAGTTGGATTAACATTTAATTTGTGGCTCAAAAGATGATGTTCAGAACTGAAAATGCACATAATTCTGAACATTATATTGCTGAGCATGTATTAGCCATTTGGGCAGTATTAAATGATTGGTGTGTCAATCCTCACATTCATTTGTCAGTTCGTTTGTTTGTAATTGCTAAAAAAACAGCGACTTGATTTAAATGAACATTTCTAACAAACAGGAGACATGGTGGTGTTAATTTGTTGGTTATGCTTACAATTTTTCTAGTTCATTGTATTATAAGCTGAATTTGATAAGCAGCTAAAAAGAAATGATTAAAATATCAAATGAATTTTATTAAAGAAATTATTTACATTTTAAAACATACTCTTACCTGATAAGTTCCACCATTTTCAAATTCAGCAGACCTGATGTATGCCCCAGTATACATTTGTTTTTTATTAACATTTCTTGCCAGCTTTATACTGATAGCGTTATCATAAACTAAGTTCTGGATATTATCTTTTCTATGGATAAGTGACCATTGTTGACCACTGGGATCTTTGAAGCCAATCTGTTGTAGTTTTCTCCAGCTTGGGTTGTTGATCATAGATACAGCCTGGTCAGGACACGGTGGACCTTCAGAATTAGCCAAATGCAAAAATGTGCCTAGAAGTTAAAATAATAAATAATTTATAGTAAGCTGGATGGAAGCCAATACAGTGGACTCTTCTCCCTGTAAATAAGAATATTGTGATGAAATTTTATATGAAATCAGGTTCTTTGCGGAAATTTAAGTGAGGAGAGGCATCACACATATAAGTGATATCCAACCTTTGTAAAGAATTGAATAACAAAGTTTTACATTGAAATATTCACTTGTAAATAGCCAAAAAGCATTTGTGAATTTTGGTACATACACATAGGGGTGACTTAGTTAAAATAAGTTTTTGACCATGACTTTCAAAGTGTGGTTTCTTCCTTGTATAATACACCTTCTAGCAGAAAATAATCATCATGCCAAGTTTCCTATAGATTGAAATAAACAATTAATTTCCCCATAGGCGACAATGATAGCCTTTTTCGAGATACAGACTTTAGAAAGTTGATTTTTTTAACGAAACCTTGCTAGAATTAAAGAAAAGTTATTAGGACAGTATTTTTTGGTCCAAAAAATATAGGTTCGCGTTGCTTTTCTTAGTGTAATTTGTACTTATCTCCCATGCCTTTCAATTTTGCACTTAAAAATACGTGTCTCCTCCTAGCGTTTAAAAGACATCTCAGTTCCGTTAGGGCTAAGGAAAATAATTTATTAGGCCTTTGGTATAATGCAGAATGCACGAAGTCTCTAATAACAAAAAATAACGGGCGCACATATCAACCAATCAGGATTAGCTATACTCTTAATTCTGAATACCATGTTATGCTCATAAAATGGCTGCGCCCATAAAATCTAATGGTGTATTGTAACCTTAATTAATCCAAACTAACTCTTTTGCTTCCCCTCCCCCCTTTTTCCCATTGTAGGTTTTCCCCTGTACTTATATACCTTAATTGTTTCTGCTGTTTGTGTGTGTTTGTGACTGTTTAACAAAAAGGAGTCCCAACCAAATCCTGAACTGAATTGAATTACTAGTCCAGTCTGGTGAGGAAACCTTGGATATGTAATCAAGGCTTGAATAAATACCAAAAGACAGGTTTGGGCCAAGTAATCCACAGTTTAATTATAAATTCCAATTAGATGCAAACATATAATTAGCAAAATATAGGCGAAAGACAAAAATACATAGATCAGCAAAATTGGGGTACTCATTACAATCAAAAACTACACAATATCTACATAAGACATAACTATAAACAAGAAAAACAAAATAACATGCAATAAACAAGAGGTGAGGTGGGTGGGAAATCAAATATAGTTTCTGCTGAAAACTTTGCTGTTTACAGCCACGCCAAATTGAAAGTGAAGTGAGCGCACTTTGTTTCAAACAATTTTTAATTAGTCATGTGACTGGTCAACATGAGAGCCACTTTCCCATTGGTTTCAGTCAGTCTCTTGACCAAATATGGACTGACGTCCAAGAGTCAGACATGCCCCAGATGTAATCCAACACCACCTTTGTATGTTGTGGAGTTTCCCTTATCAGTGCCCCATAGGATGCATATGTCTGATAGTGATTTTATTTGGATTAATAATATATTTAACTAAATACCCCGTAAACTCCATGGGTTTTTAACGTTAGATAGCATACAACAATTTGCTATAGATGGAAGGACAAACCCTGGTCACACAGATAGAGAGAGAGACAAGCTGATTACTATAGGCCTTCATACAATCAATTTAGGACCTTAATTATGTGCATTCTCTTAAAAACATAGATAGTCATAAATTACCGACTGTTTGTTTTGTATAATATTTAGAATGGTAAAAAATTCAATGACAGATAAGTAGAAATTCAAAATGACCAAACATCATCATTGCATGGCTAGCACTCATTTTAACTAAAATAAACTGTTAACACAGAGATATGTCTCGCCTATTTGTTATTTTGATAATGCAAATGTTGAAATTAAAATAGCAATACTTTAACATGTAAGTTATGCAAATATTCAAAGTCAATGAACCATGAGTGAAGGTACAGGGCTAAACAATCTCCATGGAAATGAGATGTGCCAATGCTAATACAACTGCAAACCAAATACCATTGACTTTTCATAAGTAGTTCCCTTTAAACAAACCTAAACACAAACATTTAACTTGTAAACTATGTAAAAGTTTCAAAGTCAATGAACCATAATTAAGGGGTGGGGTTATATAATCTCCATGGAAATGAAACTTGCAAATGCCAATACATTTGCATAACGAATATCATTAGCGATTCATCTTAAACTGACCTAATCACAAACTAATACATGTAAACTAAGCAAAAGTTTCAAAGTCAATAGACCATGAATGAGGGGTAAGGACCAAATATTCTCCATGGAAATGAGATGTGCTAATGATTATACAACTGCATACCAATTATCATTGACCTACCACTAACAATTCCCCTTAAACTGACCTAATCACAAACTAATACATGCAAACTAAGCAAAAGTTTCAAAGTCAATAGACCATGAATGAGGAGGCGGGTCCAAATAATCTCCATGGAAATGAGATATGCCAATGTTTATACAACTGCATATCAAATATCATTGACCTACCACTAGTGGTTCCCCATAAACTGACCTAATCACAAACTAATACATGTAAACTAAGCAAAGTTTCAAAGTCAAAAGACCTTGACTGAGGGGGCAGGGCCAAATAATCCCCATGGTAATGAGATGTGCCAATGCTAATACAAGTGCATACCAAATAACATTGACCTACCACTAGTGGTTCCCCATAAACTGACCTAATCACAAACTAATACATGTAAACTAAGCAAAGTTTCAAAGTCAATAGACCTTGACTGAGGGGGCGAGGCCAAATAATCTCCATGGTAATGAGATGTGCCAATGCTAATACAACTGCATACCAAATATCATTGATCTACCACTAGTGGTTCACCATGAACTAGACCTAATCACAAACTAATACATTGTTGACGCCGACACGGGAAACAGCATACCTATGTCTCGCTTTTTGACTCCGTCAAGGCGAGACAAAAATCTTTAATCAAAGTCATTGATGTGGAAAATGTAGATCATAATGACCTTCCTTTGTCTAAATGCTCACATATTCTCAAGGATGAAACTTATATTATTCATACACAATAGCTAACTTTTTTGCAAAAAAATATTGAAAAATATACAAATTTAATCTTGAATTTTGTGAAAGATTAATTACTGTGCATGCGAAGACAAAAACTATTATAAAAAAATGTATTTAATAAAATATAAGAAGATATTTGTTTTTCGTGCATTATTTTGTACATGAATTAGGCCGTTAGTTTTCTCATTTGAATTGTTTTACATTTGTCATTTTGGGGTCTTTTATAGCTGACTATGTGGTATGGGCTTTGCTCATTGTTGAAGGCCATACAGTGACCTATAGTTGTTAATTTATGTATCATTTGGTCTCTTGTGGAGAGTTGTCTCATTGGCAATCATACCACATTTTCTTATTTTTATATCTCATAAAGTTGGCTTTAAATTGGTGATAGCTGCGCTGTCTATATATCATCCAAATTTTACTTAAAAACTGTAGTTTTCTTACATTATCACAAACATTTCACAAAACTTTTTCTTGAGGTTCATAACATTACTTACAGATATATATAAAAGTTTAGTATGGGATACATAAATTATATCATTTCTTATATTGTAATAAACCTGCGATTTTTTTCCTTCAAAATGTCACAAATTGTGCTTTATCACTGACAACAAAGAAATTCAAAGACAGTAAATTCAAATACTTAAGACATAAGTTTGTTTACATGTATGTAGTAAAGATTCAATTTCAAGCCCATTGCTGAAAATTAATTGGAGTGATTTATGATATATAAGCATCTACTTACTTGTAACTAAAGATGCAGAACCAAACCAAACTCTGTCATTAACAAAGTCTGTACCATCAACCACATGTCCTGATGTTGGTTTTGAGGAGTCATATAATATAGGGGCAGATTCTGTACTGACAGATAGTCCAACATGATTGGTTGCAATGAGCTTTATTATATATGGAATGTTTCTCTGTAAATAAAGTTATAAATTAAAATTTTCATTTTTATGGTAAATTTTCTTTTTACATATATGTAAAACTATTCATACATAGATCACTAGGCTTTCTGCATGTTGATAGTATTAAAAAAATCAGCTGTTAGTCACAATTTTAAACTGTATATGAAACCAATTCTGTTTATCACATTGATTAGAAAATTTTCTTGTCACAATGGATGGCAATAAAAAATCATGTATTGAAAAACCCTCTTACCCCTACAGAAAATCAAATGATGATCTTATAATTAGAGGAAATTTTCCCCTTAACGACATTGGTCAAGTCTCACATTTAGGTTTTTATCTCACCCCTGATGCCCAATATATAGCAATGCTAATAGGGCTGCGGCAAAGGTGGCGTAAACAATTTATATCAAGTTATAAAGGAGGAAGTTCACAAAGGGTTAAAATTAGATTATACTGACAAATCTTGCAATCTCCATTTAATTTCATTCTTTCTGTACATTTTTTTCATACAATGTGCATTGTTCAAAGAAAAATTGAGCCAAATTTGAGGAAGGGATCTGTTTATCTTTTTGCTTTACATTTTCACTAATTTCTAACTGATTTTGTATTAGACAATAAAACCAAGATGGATGTTGGAAATGTTACATAACACAGTGAGAAATAGTTATATGTGCATTTGTATCATACAAATTCATATATATAACAAATAAGTAAACATCAATCCTCAACATTATAGCTGTCTTTTGGGGGTCTGTCACCGTACTGGAAAGTATATATTCATCAGTAATTTTAAGCCAGGGTAATTCCGACTGAATTAGGAAGGATGGATCAAATTGATGAATACAGTAGCATAAAGATGATGGTTTCTATAAATGAGAAACATAAGATTTTTCTGTGTTAAACACATCATAGCACTAATACATTTTTCAAAATGCACAACACTCTAATATCAGTTACTCTATAACTTAAAATTTTACAAATATAATATACCTCCAGTTGAAGTTCTGAAAACATATACTGAGAATAGTTTGAATCCAAAGTTATCCAGTCCACCATCAGTACTTCAGAGCTTTGATCTGAACAGGAAGACTTATTCCACAGGGATATTTTGAAAGAGGCAATATCAGATTCAAGATCAAAGAACCCCTCCCACAGTCCTGTCAAACTGCTGCTTTCAGGAGTGTATGTAACATTCTGAAAAAAGTATATAATCAATTTAGTGTGAGCTATTTCTATCTATTAAAAACGCATCCTGTTGATTTTAAGCCAAACTCCACATGACACAGACAATAAAACCTCTCCTGGTATGAAATAAATAAAATAAGGTCTTAACCCCACCACATTCTAATATGCCTGTCCAAAGTCAGGAGCCTGTAGTTCAGTGGTTGTCTTTTATATAAATTATGTTTTGTTATAAATTAGGCCGTTAGTTTCCTCAATTGTGTTGTTTCATATTTTTCATGTTGGAATTTTTATAGCCAACTAATAATACAGTATGGGTTTTTTTCATTGTTGAAGGCTTTACGGTTGCCTATAATTGCTTACATCCACTTCATTTGAACTTTGGTAGATAGTTGTCTCAATGGCAATCATACCTCATCTCCTTATTTTTATATTAATATGTATACCACTTTTAAAAAAGCTATGTTGCAATGGCAAGAGGCATATGAATGCCTATTAAGGGATCATAGATTTATTCTTATGAGGAAGCTCTGAGCATGCTCGAGGATGCTCGGAGCTTTTTAAGTAGGCTCTTCTCAGCAGTTTATGTGAAATTAATTATCATGATCCATTAAGATGTCAATCAAATCTATAGCACTTCTACAATAAGGAAAGTAGAGCATTATAGAGGAAGCTCAATTAACACCTGTGTAAACATCTGGTCGATTCAAATAAATCTTGCATTAATTTTACATAACTATAAAATAGATGGGAAATTCTTCAATAACACTGTGCAATACTATGAAAGTAATATCAAGTATTCACAGAAAGAAAATGTGTTTAAAACATTTTCTTAATAATTATCTTTTTTTTTTTTCAATACAAAAAAAAAACCCCAAAATTTATATTTAAAATATAAATATAACTTAAATTTATACTATATAAAATGAAATATAAAAGTCATCAAAGACACAAACTATGGACTTTGTGAAACTTTAAATGCTATAGCAAACTTAAATTTCGATTGAAAATGATGGCTACTTTGGGAAAAGTTGTAATTCATAGGCTAGGTTGAAAGACTTGTCACAATCGTTACGATAAATTGATTTTAGTTCAGAAATCCTCGAATTTTTTTTCTTAATAACTTTTTTTATTTGTTTTTATAATAATTAAACAGATTCAGTGGATCAAAAAACTTTATAACAAAAATTTAAAACTTAGAACTGGAATTTCTTTTGTCTATGCAATGCAACTTCTTTTCCCTAAATATTTCATATACAATATTTACATGAAAGTATTGAGAAGATGTTTTATTGATACTGTTTATGTTTCAAAAATTATACAGAGATTAAACAGAAAAAAATAAGAAATTATGAGCTTTATAATTAGGCTTCAATATAATTTCTTATAAATTTTTTAATGACCTTACTTTTCTTTTTCATAGCTACAAAATAACTCAGAAAAGTAATTCCACTGCCCAGACCAACTACCATAACCACCATTTATAACATACTATTAAATGTACAAAGTATTGAAGCATCTTTTTCTTAGCTCAATTAGCTCTCAGTTCTTAATGTTATTTTAAGGGGAAAAAGGGGAGAGAAATTGATTGGTTATTTTCTGGAGATGTTGACTTTCTTATATGCACTGACAAGTTATGTTCTATTTTTACTGTAGTACAGGACAGGATAAAACTTTACTCATGTCAAGTATTTCTTTATTTAAAACAAAGATAATATTCACACAATTTTAAAAAAAATCAATTAAAGAGAGACGTACTAGAGGGAAAACATTGGTGGTGTTACCCCCTCAAACCAGGGTTCCAATAATGAATTGCAACTTTTCCTAAAGTAGCCATAATTTTCTATAAAAAAACTAAGTTTGCTATTTTATAAAAAAACCAATGGTAATATGTTAGGGGCATTACTTAAATAAGTAATTTTCAAAATTACCTATACAAGTTATGTTGAAATCGTGGCTGTTTCAAATATTACTTCTATATCATGTATAAGTAACTTCTGTTAATATTACTTTTATAGATATCCATTCATTCACATTTTTCTTGCTTGAACAAATTTTCACAGACATCTGGTTATTTTCCCCATGAAATATAAAACTACTTAAATCCTCCTGAAACACTAATTACCTGTCTGATGCCACACTTCTTGGTCAAAGATTGGTCTCTTGGGGCTATTAAAATATTGTTTCCCTTAAAATCTTTAATAGAGATAGCCAGATATAAATAGATGTAACCTTGTGATTTATTTGAATTTATTTATAATTTGTAATCTTAATCAAAAACAATTATACATGTTCCTTAAATAATTGTAAGTACTAAGTTAAGTTTTTCAAAGACGTATAAAATAATTTATAAAAGTATTTTTTTTGTCATTATTTTTAAAGTTCCTCTCTATACTCATCTCAAATTGGATAAATACTTAATTTTATGAAATGATATAAAAATTCTTTAAAAAATTACATTTAGTACATGATTCTTTTGACATATAAAATAATTATTGAGGTATCAAATAATTTTCAAAAACAAAAAATACCTATATTAGAGAAACTTAAAAAATAACTTTAGTAATAATAATAATAATCGCCCCCTGACTTTTGTTTGTATCTGATAACTTTTATGTAGCATTTTATATAATATAAACTATATTTATATCATATCATCTAATTATAAAATTTGAGAATTTTTTTATCATAAAAAAGGAATGATTATTAAATATATCAAGAAAATATTTTAATGACTTTTACTTTTTGTGGAGACTTGAGATTTCTTTCCAAGCATTACACAGTACTGTTGAAGAATTTCTAATCTAATTTATAGTTTTGTAAAGTTTCATGCAAAATGTATTTGAATAGACCAGATGTTTACACAGGTGTTTATTGAGCTTCCTCCATAATGCTCTACTTTCCTTATTATAGAAGTGGCGTAGATTTGATTGACATCTTAATGGATCAGTATAATTATAGTCACATAAACTGCTGAGAAGAGCTTACGCAAAAGCTCCGAGCATCCTCCGAGCATGCTCGGAGCTTCCTCATAAGAATAAATCTATGATCCCTTTAAACACACAGAAACACATGTGTCTGTAAATGTGTCTTTAAAAACTCTAACCTTGTGATAATCTGGTCCACATGTTAATTCTCCTGCTTCGGGAGGTGTAGTGTCAACACTGAATGTTTGACTGGCTAGACTGCACTCTCCTGACTTGTCAGTTCCTGTAAAACGATGATGTATAAAACATTGAAATTTTCACCATACAATACATGTGTTTATTTGTAGAACAATTGAATGAAAAATGTGTTTACTTGTAGAAAAATTGAATGAAAAATGTAAAAAAATTAAACTTATTTTTTGTTTTCTTGGTTTAAGCATCTGACTTTGATTAAACATTTAAATTTTGCAGTAAAAGAGAGGCAAAAGATACTAAAACAAACGGGCAATGCCATGGCAAAAAAAGAAAAAAACCAACCAAAAGTATACAAAACACAATATAGAAAACTAAAGACTGAGCAACACAACCCCCCCCCCCCTCCAAAAAAAAAATAAAACAAGGGTAAAAAATATAATTGTTACATAAAACACATTCATTCTTAAACTGCCAATTTTATTGATCACAGTATACTTACCAAAAACCCAAACAACAAAACTTTTTCCAGATTCCAGGTTCAAATTCTCTACTTTGTAAAATGTATTCTGATTTATATTTGTGACAGGAAACACATTAAATATCCTGGATTTTTCTTCTTCTGTAGACTTTCCACCATCAATCTGTTTGAACATATAGTCAATAATAACAGTAGTTTCTAACTTATCAACAAATTGTGTTTGGAAATGTATTCCTTCTACAGAAACTGTCTCCTTTAATTTGTGGACAGACAAGTATTATACTCCCAAAGTAAGCAAGAAATGTTAGAAGCAAACTATTGTCTGCAAACTTGTTTAAGAGACACATATGATTTCACACAAATTTGTATATATCTTATTACAGAAAGAATAATGATAAGTAAAACAAACATGAACCAATAACCTTCAGGAGCTCATCAGGTAGCACCTGCATCATACTATATTAAACATTTTCAGTCCTGTCCAATTATACAGACTGGTAGACAGATCTATCATGGCTTGCTTTGGGTTATGTAATAATATTTTTTTTATTATGTGCATGTATGCCTTACATAATAACAGTAACATCCATTCATATCTTCTTTAATTTACAGCTGTTATCCTAATGCTAGCAAGTTAAAGGTTTGGTTGGCTTGCTTGCTTTGTTTGTATTAAAGTTTGCTCAAGCATTGTAATTAAGATTGATATCTGCAAACAATATAAGTAGGCGGAGTTAAACCTGTATATAGGTAAATTTGATTATTCAATAATGTCCAATCAAATTTAAACATAATGTATACAAGTTTAACTCTGCCTTTTTATATTGTTTTCATATGTCAATCTTAATTACAATGCTTGAGCAAACATTAATACAAACCAAGCGAGCAAGCAAACCAAACCTTTAACCTGCTAGCAATAAGATAACAGCTGTAAAAGTTGCATCTTTGTTATGTTTGTTTTAACAAATCACATATCGGACTTGAATATTTAGTTTGTTACACCCTGCGCTCTATGTTTCCTATGCCCGAATGTGGTTAAAATTAGGTCAACTTTGTCAGATTTTGACAATATCTCGATTTTTGGCCTTTTAGGGGGTTATCAAACACTTTATAAGAAAGGTTCAACAATAATATTTGTTTTTCACTGTCTTACATGTACATTCATCAACTTCAAACTCTTTTTCTCTTGAAACAATGGACTTAATATTTGGGGCCAAATAAGGCCATTATAGAACTTACTTCTCTATGCAACTGAAATCCTTTTCTGGATTTAACTTTATCAGGAATTCTCAAAGTAGTATACAAGTACCAAAACACTTATTATGAAACACATATAACATGTCAAGATTTGTTCAATTGTAACAAGGTTCAGTCAATTCTCAAACTCCTCAGAACTCATTTACTTATTTTAAGCTTACATAATGTTTACAGTCAGTGCCATTAACACCTGTGTAGTTAGACACAGCCACATAATACATCAATATCTCAACTTTGGAAAAAAACCCTTCAAACTGTATATCTAGATATGTATTTGTGTTGACAAAATCTTCCATTATAATAGTTCCAGCTGCAAAATATTAATTTAAATTAAGTCTACAAGATATTCATTTGAACATCTCTCAAAAGAGCTCTAGAAATTATTATTGTGCATCAGGTTGATATTAACAAGCCATATACTATTCTCTATGTATGGTAATATTGCACTATATAATCACATGTAAGTATTTCTTATGTATTTGCATTTTGAGTTTGAAAATCTAAAATTTACATGCAATATCTTGTAACTGCGTTCTATTTTTCAGCTTACATGTATACATGTGTATGTGCATTTAATAAATCATAATAATGATGTACGTATTTACATACAATCCGACATAATACGTGCAGTATTTCCACACATGTGTGTAAAATTTTAATGTGCACAAATGTTATTTAAATTTACAGTATTTCAGATATTCAACACATATATGTATTTCATTGGTTGATAAATGAGTAACCATTCAATCATGTTCATTTAACAATTCAGGGTTAAAGAAGAACTGTATCATGTATCTTGACCAGGTAAAGCCTTTATTTATTTAGTTAAGTACGGTAATCTGAATACAAACTGAACATTTAAAATTTACTTACAGGTAACCCCACCATCATCTCCAACATGAAAGCCATTTGATGTTACCATAGCAACAGAATGTGAAGCACTGTAAGCTTTGACTGTAAAGTAGTACACAGGTGTACCAGGAACCAGGTCAAGGTCATAAAAGGTAACTTTTTTGTCTTTTCCTACATTAGTAAATGGAACAATATTATCTCTGGTTTGTGTGAATCTCCTGTCTGTTCCCAAGGCAACCTCATAAAATGCTACTGCTTGGTTTTCATCCTGATTTTCAATATCACCTTCATTAACTTGAATGCCTGGATTTCCTGGAAATACAAAATTGTGTGTATCAGACAGGGTAATAACTCTGGTAAGTTCATATGAAAATGTATTTAAAAAAATAAAATAGTAGTAGATTATGCTCTGTGAAATACAAATATGAAAGGCATGATTATGCCTGACCATAGGACACCATGCCCAGCTCATACTATCTCATTCCCATATTTAGTAAATCATGAAATCTGGAACAAAACCCTGATGATGCATATATTTTATAATTTTCACTTCAGATAATCAGATGTACTGTGTTTCATGTTAATTTGACCAAAAATACAATGAAACCACAACTTTAACATAATACAGGATGGAGAGACAGACACACAAATGGATTGATGGACAAGGTGAATACAATAATACAGGTACTCCTGAACCTGTCTGATTCAGAAACAGTCAGTTATTTGATTGATTGATTGATTGTTGGTTACTTAACGTCCAGTGGCAAATATTTCATGCATATTCAGGACGAGAACAAATTAACAATAAATACAAAAGGTAGGTTCTGTAATGTAGGCCATCCGGGAAGAAGGTTGGGGAAATTTAAACTGCCACTGGAAAATGAGGGTTAATTGGATAGGGACAGCAATTTAGCCTGGCAACAGGTCACCTACGGACCCCTCAAAGAGTTGTTGCAAGGGTTCTTAACGTGCAGAGAGCGTGGCATTCTCTCTACACGAGGCATCGGATTTAACGTCCCCATTCTGACCGGACGTGGCTGCGTACTTGTACATCCCGCACAGCCAAACGGACACCCCACTTTAGCGAGGGTTTTACCGCCGGTCAGAGGAAAACCAATGGTGACCATATTTCTATTCCCCAGTCACCCTTGGGGGGGCAGTTATTTGAGAATAATAGTGTAGAAGAATTTGTCAAGAGTTGGAACCATCCCTCGCAAATAAAAACTAAAATATATGTGACACTATTGGAATCAAAATTTACTAGATTAATAGAACTACAGATTCAAATTTACTACCATTATAGTTTGTTTAAATGATCTATAAATGATTATAATTCAATCTATAAGATTTTCTCCATAGGTGGTATTTAAAAAAAAAATTATTTAGATGATGATCTTGTCAATGTAGATAGTCTGTTTCTTTGGACTTAATTCAACTGACCCCTCATCACAGTCATAAAGGAGTAGGTTCGGTAAGGTCCAAAAATGGCCCCCTTTTTTAGCTTAAATTTCAAACTAGGATTTATTGACCAATATCAAAATGAATCATAGCTAATACAGTGACTAGATAGGAAATAAGCCCTTTTGTTGAAAATTTACGTTCCTGCATTTTATTTATGACGTCACAATTAGTACTCGTTTTGATTTTCCACGTAAAAGTCAATAAAAATGGGTAAATTTCCGTCGATTATTGGACAGGAAACATAAAGCGCATACTTCGACAACAAAGATCTTTTAAAATAATGTTTGTAAAGACATTTTCATGTCTTACTCGAATATTTAGATTGTCGACGCCTGGGCTCCATGTTTCCTGATCCTAAATTTGGTTGAAATCCGGCCGAAAATTTTGTCAAATTTTGCTAAAATCTCTTACAGTGTTCCAGCTAGGATTTCAAAAGGGCAGGGTGCCAATCCTGAAAAAGGGCATTTAACGCGTGATATGATAATATGAAAAGGGCATGTTTTAATAAAGATTATAATAAAACATTGTTTGTTCATTGAATCACTGGTTATATATATATACAAGAACAACATCATTAGCCCAGAGAAAAACTATCTTTCTACTTTTTAGGCTGAAAACTTATCAAGCAGCTAGTCACACAAGTTTTAAATCATTGCTTGGCACAGTTAAGCTTTATATGCAGTATTTTTTGAAAAATGTCCTGCTTCATTTTGTTTCTATGGTCTGACACACTTTACAAGTTTCACCTTTCTACCTTTTCTGTGCTTAATGGCAATACAGCACAAAACAGCTGTAGATGCACAATGTTAGGATATAGTGAACAGTGAAAATTTGGATTGAAAATAAAAAATACAGAAAAAGATGACCAAGGCACCCTACCAACCTTGCTACTAAGACCCTCTTTAACTTTTCCCATGACTCAAAACACCTAAACATATAAATTCTAAAGCCAGAAGTATGAAGACATATTTTATAATATCTTAGTAGGTTACTCAATGCTAGGAAAAAATCAGATTGAGTTATCTTTCTTTATTTGGGTGTGCTCCTTCTTTGGAGGATAATAAACAGTACGTAGAAGATGTAAATACGATCAACAATATGGCGACCGATTTTGTTATTTTCGTATAAAAAATGAAGGCAGTCAATGAAAAATACGTCTTAATTTGCTATTTATTTCACGGAAAACAATAAGAGCAATGTTTTTAACGAGTTGATTATGGTTTTCGACTTTCTGTCAATTACGTTTTCTCCATGAAACTACCGTAAACATTGCTAATTGTGCCCAAGTTGTATAAACATTTCTTCAAGTTCAAAAACAAACAAATGCAGACTGACCGATTCTATTTGAATGAATTAATGTTGATGATCATTAAATGACCCATCCGATAAACGGATTACCTATAACAACAGGTTATGACACCTGTTGTAACCGTTGATTAGCTTGGGGTCGTAAACAAAGTCATATACTTGTCGCCAGGTAAATATTCGTAATTGGCTGATCATATCAATACGAACAAAATATATACCAATCGATCTTCAAAAAGGCAGGGCGCCCTGCAATCTGTAAAAAGGGCACAGGGCGGCACTCGGGAAAGGGCGTGCGGACCGCCCTGTGTAAACAACCTAGCTGGAACACTGTCTTATCTTGACCTATTTTAGATGTAAAAATCAACACTTTAGAATAAAACATTGACAAAAATAGTTCTATTTAACTTTCTCACATGTCTTAAAGACAACTTAAATCATTTTTCATTTTGTTGCATTGAATTTTATAATCGGGGCCAGATATGGTCCTTACCGAACTTACTCCTTTCACATATCCAACATGTAAAAAAAATAGAAATTTGGGTACAATTGTCAGTAGGCTTTAGACAGCATCTATGCAGGAAAATGTAATACTCTTCTTCTATCATGCCATAGAGCCAAACTCATTTGCTAAAAAAAGATATGCCATAAACAAAAATAATGGAAAACGTAAAATATAAACCATTTTTAAAGATGTCAGATGTTCAAGTATATCATGCCAGTTTTTTGTCCTTGTCTTGCCAGCATTTGAAATGGGACTAGGGATTACAGTTGCTGTTATCTTGCTTGAACTTTTTTTCTTTTTCTAATAACGACAAAATCAGAACAGATATACAACAAATATACCTGAAATAACATCTACTTGAGTTTGTGTACTGACTGGCAAACCAAACCCATCCCAGTTCACTGTTACCATGACTTTGGAATTGATAAAATTCAGATCATATCCTTTCACATTTCCATCAAATACTTTTCCTGGGATGAGAGGTTCTTGTTTGACAGTAACACCATTAGATCTGATCATGTAGGTGTAGTTCAAAGCATTGGTTACTCTCAGTAGAGAATAGTATAATTCTCCATTCAACATCTCCAATTCATCATTTGTTCCTGAAGTTTTAACTGTAAACAAATACATGTACATCATTTAGTTCAAAATTTTATATGCATAAAATAACAAACCAATGAATGTGAATATATACAACACAGTGTAATTTTCATGGAGACCCTTATGATGTTAACCATTTGATAGATAAATAAAACATCATCTGTCTTTATTTCTTTTGGCAAACATCATGACCTTTGAGTTGTTTTTTTTTAAAGTGTGAAGGTCATTATATCTAAAAGGATTTTCATACTTTCCATATCCATCCAATCCATGACAACCATCCCATCAAGCCTCTGTATCAGCCATTCATACTTGATGACAGGACAAGGGTCACCTGATACATCCCATGATGCTCTGTATGTGTCAGAACTCTCCTGGAAATCTCTGAAACAGGTATGAATATATACAGGAAAAATACCATGTTACAGACTTCCACAGCCAAAAATTTGCATTCTGTCTTATTTATTTACAACAAATGTACAAAAAGTAAAACAAGCACATAAATATATAAAATGAAGAACCTTTAGTGTGCTCACATTATACCCCTTCCCCTACACACTTATAAGTTTTGTTTATAAGAAGATGTGGTATAATTTCCAATGAGACAACTCTCCACTAGAGATCAAATGACATAGAAGTTGACAACTGTAGATCACCGTACGACCTTCAACAATGAACAAATCCCATACCACATTTTAAATGGAATATTATTACAAGCCCCTTCAAATCTCCCATTTACAGTTAGATTTTTGAGATTAGTGTAAATCAAAATTTGAATAGGATCTGATAACAAATGAAGGCCCTATCCCTGTGACAAAAAATAGTATGGGCTATTTTTACAAGCCCCTTCTCCTTCCTGATAAAATGTCCCCCATGCCAGATAAGTCTGGTTATGAAACTCAGTTGTATTTCTAATGAGTACCAAACTTGCATCATACCACATCGTCTTTTTATATTAAATCCAAAATTGAAAAAGATTTGACAAAATTAAGGCTCTAGCATTGCTACAACATAGTGAAGGACAGACTGTCAAAACATTATAACCTAAGAAATTCTGTTGCATTGGAGAGTTGCATTGAGGTAGCTGTGTTAGTTTTCGTTAATAGAAGGAATTTTACTTCACCAGACTTAAAGGATTTAGACCAAGATTGCTCTGATGTCTGAGGTTCTTTTGGGGGAATTGCTTTGGCCATGGGGGAGTTCATATAGTAAACATAGATATAGGAAGATGTGGTATGAGTGCCAATGAGACAACTCTCCATCCAAGTTACAATTTATAAAAGTAAACCATTATAGGTCAAGGTACGGCCTTCAACACGGAGCATTGGCTCACACCGAACAGCAAGCTATAAAGGGCCCCAAAAAATTACTAGTGTAAAACCATTCAAACGGAAAAAACAACGGTCTAATCTATATAAAAACGAGAAACGAGAAACATGTATGAACTACATAAACAGACGACAACTACTGTAATCTTAACTTTTTTTTCAAGTAGTCACTGAACCATGAAAATGAGGTCAAGGACATTGGACATGTGACTGACGGAAACTTCGTAACATGAAGCATCTATATACAAAGTATGAAGCATCCAGGTCTTCCACCTTCTAAAATATAAAGCTTTTAAAAAGTTAGCTAACGCCGCTGCCGCCGGATCACTATCCCTATGTCGAGTTGTCGCAGGCTCGACAATAAAACCAATTGTTTTAAAAATAGATTTGTTTCCATGACCCGTATGTGCAATGTACATTATTATGCTTTGGTGAAAATAAACTGTTTAACAATGCTGCACAGTTTATTATCTTTTTTAACAATAAATGTGCAATGAAGTGCCTTTGATATGCTTTGATATGCAGTATTTACCGCTTGCACAGTGATGTAAATAGATATAAGAAGATGTGGTATGAGTGCCAATGAGACAACTCTCCATCCAAGTCAAAATTTATAAAAGTAAACCATTATAGGTCAAAGTACGGTCTTCAACAGCAAGCTATAAAGGGTCCCAAAAATTACTAGTGTAAAACCATTCAAACAGGAAAACCAACGGTCTAATCTATATAAAAAACAAGAAACGAGAAACACTTATGAACCACATCAACAAACGACAACTACTGAACATCAGATTCCTGACTTAAGACAGGTGCACACTGTTTCTTTAACCTTGTTAGTTTCGTATATGCAAACCAGTTTGGGGCCCTTTACGGGTTATTTCCTTGACGCAAGTGTTAAACGTGAGAAAATATAATAATTAGAAGTAAATGCTCTTTTCCAAAATTACAAAAAACTAATGTTTGACATATAAAATTTTCAACTAAATATAAATGCCCTGTAATGTTTAACATGAATGCAAATCAATCCAAGCCGAATTACAAGTGTACACATTGGATGGTTTTTCAAAGTGAATGAGCAGGCGTCATTGTTTTTAAAATTCACCCCAAATTTAATCTAAGGCCAATGCTTGAAATCCAATCAATAATTAACACCTTTTGAGAGAGAATGGTCGTGTTTTTACATCAATTACCTGTTTGACATTTTTTACCCCGAGGCTTAAAATAGAACAAGGGGAACTTTACCTGTGTACACATCGAGGGTTATTAATCAATATCCATCAAGAAAGAAACTGTTTTAAAACTTTATTTAAACATCACAAAAGTGAATATGAAATAATTATGAAAATAATAATGCATTCAAGAAAAATATACTTACCACATTGTCGTTTCCGGTAAAAAATCTCGTCAGTTTTAACTAAGCATATATAGCTGTACCCTTTTTAGGCTATGCAGTTAACCGGATTATTTAACATTAGATGAATGGGAAATGGTTTTGTGCAGGAAAAAATCATGCAATTAACCGAATTATGCTATTAAGCGGTATGCGATTAAGTGGAGTCGACTGTAGTATGAAATCAAGGTCTGGTAATTATAACTTGCTGCAAAGGTCTCATGACAAAGCTATCAGAAGAACAAATTAAGACAGACTTAATTATGAAAGTTTTAATATATCTATGATGTCTGGAAAAAGTAAAAATAACAAACCTACATCTATTAAACCTCCACTACAAGTGAAATAAAATTCAAATAACTAAATGACAAACTTACATATCTACATTTGATAATTCTGAAACATCAGCAATACCAATATGAACCAAAGGAGGCAGTCCTTGACTAAGGTAAGACAAATATAAACCATTGGATGAGCTAACACTGGATAATCCTGCTCCATTGGTTCCTTTAATTGATACATATACCTACAAAAATATCAAGAGCAATATACTGTATAATCCTGCTCCATTTGTACCTTTAACGGATACATATACCTACAAAAATATCAAGAGTAATATACTGGATAATCCTGCTCCATTGGTACCTTTAATGGATACATATACCTACAAAAATATCAAGAGTAATATACTGGATAATCCTGCTCCATTTTACATATACCTACAAAAATATCAAGAGTAATATACTGGATAATCCTGCTCCATTGGTACCTTTAACAGATACATATACCTACAAAAATATCAAGAGTAATATACTGGATAATCCTGCTCCATTGGTACCTTTAACGGATACATATACCTACAAAAATATCAAGAGCAATATACTGGATAATCCTGCTCCATTTGTACCTTTAATGGATACAAATACCTACAAAAATATCAAGAGTAATATACTGGATAATCCTGCTCTATTGGTTCCTTTAATGGATACATATACCTACAAAAATATCAAGAGCAATATACTGGATAATCCTGCTCCATTTGTACCTTTAATGGATACATATACCTACAAAAATATCAAGAGTAATATACTGGATAATCCTGCTCTATTGGTTCCTTTAATGGATACATATACCTACAAAAATATCAAGAGTAATAAACTGGATAATCCTGCTCCATTTGTACCTTTAATGGATACATATACCTACAAAAATATCAAGAGCAATATACTGGATAATCCTGCTCCATTGGTACCTTTAACAGATACATATACCTACAAAAATATCAAGAGTAATATACTGGATAATCCTGCTCCATTGGTACCTTTAATGGATACAAATACCTACAAAAATATCAAGAGTAATATACTGGATAATCCTGCTCCATTGGTACCTTTAACAGATACATATACCTACAAAAATATCAAGAGTAATATACTGGATAATCCTGCTCCATTGGTACCTTTAATGGATACATATACCTACAAAATATCAAGAGTAATATACTGGATAATCCTGCTCCATTGGTACCTTTAATGGATACATATACCTACAAAAATATCAAGAGTAATATACTGGATAATCCTGCTCCATTGGTACCTTTAATAGATACATATACCTACGAAAATATCAAGAGTAATATACTGGATAATCCTGCTCCATTGTTCCCTTTAACAGATACATATACCTACAAAAATATCAAGAGTAATATACTGGATAATCCTGCTCCATTTGTACCTTTAATGGATACAAATACCTACAAAAATATCAAGAGTAATATACTGGATAATCCTGCTCTATTGGTTCATTTAATGGAAACATATACCTACAAAAATATCAAGAGTAATATACTGTATAATCCTGCTCCATTGGTACCTTTAACAGATACATATACCTACAAAAATATCAAGAGTAATATACTGGATAATCCTGCTCCATTTGTACCTTTAATGGATACAAATACCTACAAAAATATCAAGAGTAATATACTGGATAATCCTGCTCCATTGGTACCTTTAACAGATACGTATACCTACAAAAACATCAAGAGTAATATACTGGATAATCCTGCTCCATTGGTACCTTTAACAGATACGTATACCTACAAAAATATCAAGAGTAATATACTGGATAATCCTGCTCCATTTGTACCTTTAATGGATACAAATACCTACAAAAATATCAAGAGTAATATACTGGATAATCCTGCTCCATTGGTACCTTTAACAGATACGTATACCTACAAAAATATCAAGAGTAATATACTGGATAATCCTGCTCTATTTGTACCTTTAATGGATACATATACCTACAAAAATATCAAGAGTAATATACTGGATAATCCTGCTCTATTGGTTCCTTTAATGAATACATATACCTACAAAAATATCAAGAGTAATATACTGGATAATCCTGCTCCATTTGTACCTTTAATGGATACATATACCTACAAAAATATCAAAAGCAATATACTGGATAATCCTGCTCCATTTGTACCTTTAATGGATACATATACCTACAAAAATATCAAGAGTAATATACTGGATAATCCTGCTCCATTGGTACCTTTAATAGATACATATACCTACAAAAATATCAAGAGTAATATACTGGATAATCCTGCTCCATTTGTACCTTTAATGGATACATATACCTACAAAAATATCAAGAGTAATATACTGGATAATCCTGCTCCATTGGTACCTTTAATGGATACATATACCTACAAAAACATCAAGAGTAATATACTGGGAAATCCTGTTCCATTCCACTAAAACACTTGGCAAACAATAAAATCTTAAAAGTTCTTTATCAGTGCAGAAGTGCATGCATGCATGCTATCTGTACCTGCAAAAAAGTCCAAAATCTTTTTAAATGAAATTAATTTTTTTAACAAGCTAACATATATAATTCATTATCCAAGTACCTTTTTCAGGCCATTCAAATTCAATCCTGTGACAGAGTAATAATTTGTATCCAATGGTATGCTGAAGAAAGGTTTTACCTGACCCCCTCCAGGTGTAGTACCTACAGCCACCTCATATCTGCAATATAAAGGAACAAATAGCTTTTATATGTTCCACTGTTGAGAATTATATAAATGTTATTTTACATTATTGAAATTCTAAATCAATACCATACCAGCTAAACATTCTAGAGAGTCATAGGTAATAACTAATCCTTGAAGTACCTCAACTTTTTAAACTGCACTTTTAGCTCTAGTTTAGTTTTACTAAGAGTCACCAAAGAATCAAAAAGTTGTAATGACTTGTATGTTCTTCGTAAATTTTTTTGAATATAATAATATAAGTGAAGAATTATTGATATATGCCATAATGCATCCCGTAAGGAAATCAGCACCAAATTCAGGTGGACCATATGATGGCCCAAAATTTGTTTGTATAAGACTTATTTTAGCAGTGATTTATCATAAAGTTAACATTATCATCAATCTCAAATAGCTACCGAATTGTGTAATAAACTTATCTTATAATTTGTAAATGTAATAAACAGGCTATGCATAAGTATTCAATTACATTTTTTAGAGTCATATGAAACAGTTTTCTGGTGATTATAATGTGAAAGGAATTATAAATCCAATGCATGCATACATACTAAAATAAGTCCTCTTTGCATGGTTTTAACATTTCTCATATTGGTTGTATTATTAGTGGTTGGTCAATATAAGTGCTTGAGCCATTGGCTATAAAACATCACATATACATATGATCTGATAGTATTTATACACAATCAGTAATAAAAAAGGGGGTTTGGTTTGAATTTTTAATTCAGTTATATACAAAATATTATTTCAGTGGGCATGTCTAAAAACTGTTGTACATCATCCAGTTAAGACAAACACACATTTGTTTTTCTTTCAAAAATGTTTATACCATACCCAGCTATTCCAGATTGTTCATCAGTAAATGGTTGCCAAGTTACAGAAACTGAAGTCAGAGACTCTGAACATGTAGCATCTAGAGCATCACATTCTGAAAATGAAATAGTACAGCAACAAGATATTAATATTACCTATCAGGCATATTTGTACCATTTATATAAATTTTGTTTCAACTTCATTATCTTGACTAGCTCTTTGAAAATATTTATAGATATTTTTTCATGATATACTTTATTGTAGGATTGCTGTCTCATCACTGTTTACTTCATATCTCCTTATATTTCAAAATATTGAGATAAAATTAGGAATATGATTCAACCTGCAGGAATTTAAAAATAACTTATCATTTTTTTTTTGTTAGTAGACTTCTTGAAAGAGGTTAAAATTATATGATTGATTGATTGATTGGTTTGTTTTTAACGCCACTATCGGCGATATTGGCTTTTTCATGTCTGTCAGCTTTTATTGGTGGAAGAAAGAATTATAATCTTTGTCAGAAAACTGACAATCCTAGTCATTTAAGGTTTGAGTCAAATGCACCTGCCTCATGTTGGATTTGAACTCAACCTTAGTAGTTGAACTACTTAGATCACTGGGTCACACTGAGTTGATATGATATTATTCAATCAAAATTTACTGCAGGCATTGTACATCTTTCTGTACTGTTTATGCTGTTGCTGTATTAATTTACAGCCAATGGCATGATAGTGTTAGGTCAACAGGTTAAAATATATTTGGACAGCATTAAGTTCCTCTAGCTTGCTGGATCCTATACCATCTACATCTTGCAACTTAGACATTTTGCTATAATATGTTCTAATGAATCTGACATCAATACTTAACTTTAAATTACACAAACACTGCTTCTACAGTGTTACAGACAACACAACTACATTATTTTAAGAAAGTTTTTGCCAGACAACCATAACAGCAATGCTGACACCAATGATTACAGCATTAAGGGTATATATTGAGTGATTTTTCTATCAAAGACAATGGCACCTGCCATTATCGAATTATATAACTAGAAAGTCCTTGGGTATCAGGCTACATAATAAATATGGTTAGGGTTCAGTTTTATGAGTCAGACTTACATAAGCTCATAGACAAGCATCAATAGACTAAAGCATGGCAAGTCTTGGTTTTCAAAAAATCTTAAAAGCTCATTATTCATTTTACCAGATACAGGAATCATAAAATTAAGGACAAGGATAACTGAAAATGGTGCCAAAAACTTCAGACCATATGGCACCAATATATAAAATATTGATTTTTTAACTCTACTAACCTTTTTAAATGCAAAAGCTTTAAACATCTAGGCTGTTGCCAGAAAACACTAAATATACATCAACATAACAAAATTTATTTCAGAAAAGACAATGAAAACTACCTTCATCACTTATACAAGCTTTAGCATTCATTTGTACAGTAGCTGCATTGTCAGTCACATCCATTCTGTAGGTCGTATGAAGGTCAATCACTTTACCAGAGTCAGGAGGTGTGGTATCTATGGCAACAGGTCCAGAGAAACCGTAGGTTTGCAAACCCACTGTGTTAACAGCATTCACAGTAACATAGTAGAACTTCTCATGTGTCATCAACTCATCTGCATCTATAAAATCATATTTATGTTATAAAATCATATTTATGTTATAAAATCATTCATGCAATTGTTTCTGTTTACCTAGAACACAATATGTAGACACAAATTATTTCTTTTTTTAGTTTCTCTATATTTAATTTAAGGTAGATCAGGTGTCTAAATCAAAATTGATAGAATATTTCAATAATTTGCCAAAATATAGTATATATCATGTTTTTTTCAAAAAGATAATACAAAGTCTTAGTCACAGAGGTTTTTTTTTCAAGCTTCAGCTTGTGGGCAAATTTGTCAGATTTTGTATAGATTATACATGGAAAACCCAATTTTGTGTGATAGAAAGAAAGCTAAAAAATAGAATTTTAAGATAAAATATGAGAAAATAATTCTATTCTAATAATAATAATGTGCTTTCAGAAAATAAAAATAAAAATTAGGGTCAAAGAACTTGTTTTCTTGTTACAAATCCAATAAAAAAAATCATAAAAGAATTAAAGTAATGTTATCTGAGCTGTCAAAAAAATGTTCTGTAATTTTTAAAAACAGATCGATGAAGTAATAAAAAGATAAAACTCACAATGATCATCATTTAGATAAAAAGTCTTACAAATGACATTCTTCTCTCAAAATATGTATATTCTATTATTAAAAAATCTAGCCCTATAGTTTTCTGCTATTTTACAATCCAAGATGGCAGAAAACACCCGATCTACCCTGAATCAATAGATTTAAAAAAAACAATTTTCCTATTCAATTTAAAAATAAAATTTGTGTTTTACTTATGAATTCTAGACACTTTAGATTAAACAAAATTATGAAATTATTATAAGAATCAACAAACAGTTTTCTTAGATCTGTACTTAGTGTTCTTTTTGTTGTTAGGGATTAGAGATGGATAAATACCTTGCTACGTCCGGTCTGTGTTTATGTTTGATGTTTTTCTGCTTTGTATCGATCTGATGAGTTGAGCCTTTTTCAACTGATTTTTATTGTTTGTTCTTATGTTGTGCTGTAACACCACTGTTCTAGGTTAGGGGAGGGTTGAGCGCTCACAAACATGTTTTACCCTGCCACGTTCTTTATGTGCCTGTCCCAAGTCAGGAGCCTGTAGTTCAGTGGTTGTCGTTGGTTCATGTCTGTCATATTTGTTTTTCGTTAATTGTTTTGTTATACATTAGGCCATTAGTTTTTCTCAATTGAACTGTTTCATATTTTTCATGTCAGGGCCTTTTATAGCCGACTATACAGTATGGGTTTTTCTCATTGTTGAAGGCCGTACGGTTGCCTATAATTTCTTACATCCACTTTATTTGAACTTTGGTGGATAGTTGTCTCATTGGCAATCATACCTCATCTCTTTATTTTTATATTTTAGACTTTAAGGATGAAAATTTAATGAAAATTAGTGAAGACATGAGTTAAGAGTACTTGAAAATCTACAAAACAGTATAACACGATATGAGAAATGTTGAAAAGGCAATAACTTTTGTCAACATGCTGTATATATTTCTAACTTGGAATTGTAACATAGAGGCTACATTAATCACTTTGCAGCCATGTCTTGTGTGCAGATATTTTGTTTTCAAGTGAACTATTTAGAAAAAGTTGCCTCCTAGGCTATATTGATCTCAATTTATTTATACCAATAAAAAAAGCAAATCTTGATCAGGTTCATGATGAAAACCTATAAACCATTCTGGCTGAGAAATTTCAAAAGAAAGTTCTACTATATATATTTATCAAATCGGCAAGGAAAACTTATGGTGAATAACGTGAGTCAATATCCTACAAGTACTGTCTTGGTTTTTACTTGATGCTTATGTTTTAATGCTTCTGTGCTAAAACTGTTAAGTACTGACCATTTATAGAATAACTGAAGGTATGTCCATTAACCACTCTGTTAGTGAATACATCAGATAGTCCTTGTTGAGAACCAAGTGATATCTGGAACTCTTTTATTGGGCTTTCATTATCATGAAACCCAGTCCAGGAACACTTAACAGGAACCTTGTCCTGAAATAAAGGTAGAACAATGAATAATAAAGCTTTGAATGTTGTTTTCCTGGAGAAAAAAAACTGTTAATTATTATCTGTGATTTTTTTTGAAAAGTGTCCATTCAACTTAAGATCTTAAAGCTAGTAATAAAATCAAACTTGACTTTAAAGTACATCTTACACTACCAAACTGTGGCTCAGATAAAAACAACATAATCAGCAATGACTCCCTTATGTTGATGTATCTATTTATTTAAATGTTACATGCCTTTACATATTCAAGACAATTGACTCTGATGTACCTATAGTTATAATGCTGCCTTTTCTATAAAATCTGTGAGGACTTCTGAATCCTGATGTATCTATTGGTGACAATGCTATCTACCCCTACATATTCTGGACAGGTGACAACTCCCTGATTCTGATGTATCTATTGATTACAATGCTACCTGACTCAACCTAATCAAGACTAGTGACTACCTCCTTATTCTAATGCATCAATTGCTTAAAATGCTACCTACACCTACCTGATCAGGGTAGCTGACTACTTCCTTATTCTGATGTATCAATTGATAAGCTACCTGACCCTCCCTACTCAGGACAGGTGACTACTCCCCTGATTCTAGTGTATCTATTGATAACAATGCTACCGGTCTCTACCTAATCAGGACAGGTGAAAACTTCCTGATTCTGGTGTTTCTATTGGTGATAATGCTACCTGACTCTAGTCAATCAAGACAGTTAACTTCTCCCTGATCATGATGTATCAATCGATTGAAATGCTACCTGACTCTGCCTAATCAGTACAGGTGACAACTCCATTATTCTGGTGTACCTGTTGATAACAATGCTACCTGACTATACCTAATCAGTACAGGTGACAACTCCATTATTCTGGTGTACCTATTGATTACAATGCTACCTGACTATACCTTATCAGGACAGGTGACAACTCCATCATTCTGGTGTAGCTATTGATTACAATGCTACCTGACTCTACCTAATCAGGACAGGTGACAACTCCCTTATTCTGGTGTATCTATTGATTACAATGCCACCTGACTCTATCTAATCAGGACAGGTGACAACTCTCTGATTCTGGTGTATCTATTGATTACAATGCCACCTGACTCTATCTAATCAGGACAGGTGACAATTCCCTGATTCTAATGTATCTATTGATTACAATGCCACCTGACTCTATCTAATCAGGACAGGTGACAAATCAGGAAAGGGAACTAGGTTTTAACTCTGGTGTATATATTGGTTACAATGGTACCTACCCCTACATATTCAGGGCAAGAGACTACTCCCTGACTTGGCGGTGATATATCTATGATCACAGAGTCAAGAGTCACTTTACACTGAGATCCTGCCTTGTTTTCCGCATACACAGATATAATGTTTGGCTTTCCTATTCAATAAAGAAACAAACATTTTAATACATTAATATTTGTTTGATTAAATAACTACCATAGACAGTTCATAAAAATTGCATGTATTCAGCAACTTTTCTAGTCTTAGTTTTACTTTCAAGTGCATTCTGTACAATCAATTTCACAAATGTGCAAAATGCCATCCACTACATAATCCATAAATACATTCTTTTAAATGTTAAACAATTTAAGACAGATCATAAAATGTGGAAATCATTGATGTTAATTTAATCTATGAACCTCAGGCTCATTTAATGTACTATTTTCATTTAGTTTTAGACAAGGCATATGAGGAAAACACATTCATATCAGAATATATAGTTTGTCTGTAACTAGCATACAATTATATTTCAGCGTAGAGCTGATAAAATTTCCCGTTAATGTGTATGTTATTTGATTGAAAAAAAAATAAAAATTACCAGTTAAAAACTCTGAATGATATTTGCATTAATTTGTAATTCATCCATCTTGTCATGTACAATGCAAAAAATACAAAATTTGTTTTACATATATAGTTTTGATGATGAATATGTTGTCAAGCAATTACCCAAATGACTTTACAAGTTATCATTTTGATTTTGCTAAAAAAAAAAACATTGAAAACTAAAAGATAGTGATGGGAGCCTTCAAAGAGGGCCCTGATCAAGTGAATAAATGAATTTTAAAGCCATCATTTTAGAAGCAATCAGGTTATTCCATTTAAACAAAGCTTATAACAAGGAAGGTTAACAGTTTTCTTCCTTTTACATGAGAGACACACCTTCTAGAAGAGATGAATAATCATGCAATGTTTCAGTACTGAACTTCAAGTGATTTTAAAGTAAGAGATCAGAGTCTATTTGTGATTGACGGAAGGATTGAAGTGTAGGGACAGACAAGCTGATTACTACAGACATTCTGCCTATTAATCGACAGGAATTCTGACTTACTGAGGTATATTCTGTCAAAGGGCCAATTTTACCCTCAATTACATAGGTACTTTCATTGTTTTTTCATCATAATAATTATAAACACTATAAGCCTTAACACATGATAACGGTAGTAAAAAGGGTAAAATAAGATTACCTGTTATGTCTGGGATCACAGTAGACAATGGTACAGAACTCTGTAGATTTGATGTAATATTAACTTCTGTTACTGGAGCCACATCTCCTCCAAAAGGATAGGTCCCTACACTGAACCAAGCTCTCTGTATGCCACTCTCTTCATCAATATAATGCCATTGGGCAGATAGGATATCTATTGTTGTCTGGTAAATACTTGTTCCTCTTTCTACTTCATAGGCATCCTTATCTGTTAATCTGTAAAAAATATCATTTTTATAAATCAATGATGAGGTTTAATAACTAGAGGCTCTAAAGAGCCTGTGTCGCTCACCTTGGTCTATGTGCATATTAAACAAAGGACACAGATGGATTCATGACAAAATTGTGTTTTGGTGATGGTGATGTGTTTGTAGATCTTACTTTACTGAACATTCTTGCTGCTTACAATTATCTCTTGGCCCAGTAGTTACAGTGGAAAATATTTTGTAAAAATTTACAAAAATTTACAAAATTTATGAAAATTGTAAAAAATTTACTATAAAGGGCAATAACTCCTTAAGGGGTCAATTGAGAATTTTGGTCATGTTGACTTATTTGTAGATCTTACTTTGCTGTACATTATTGCTGTTTACAGTTTATCTCTATCTATAATAATATTCAAGATAATAACCAAAAACTTCAAAAATTCCTTCAAATTACCAATTCAGGGGCAGCAACCCAATAACGGGTTGTCCGATTCATCTGAAAATTTCAGGGCAGATAGATCTTAACCTGATAAACAATTTTACCCCCATGTCAGATTTGCTCTAAATGCTTTTGTTTCAGAGATATAAGCCAAATTCTACATTTTACCCCTATGTTCTATTTTTAGCCATGGCGGCCATCTTGGTTGGTTGGCCGGGTCACCAGACACATTTTTTAAACTAGATACCCCAATGATGATTGTGGCCAAGTAGTTTCAGAGGAGAAGATTTTTGTAAAAGTTAACGGACGACGGACGACGGCACCGGACGACGGACGCCAAGTGATGAGAAAAGCTCACTTGGCCCTTTGGGCCAGGTGAGCTAATAAAAGAATGTCACCACCATTATAGATTTTTTAAATTTATACCCACTAGATATAGAAATTCAATAATCCAAAGAATTTGTAAAATGGAAAGCAGAATAACTACCAAATTCTAAATGAAAACAAAACCTTTTTTTAGTGTTTTACAAGTTTTTAAAATTCAAACAATTTTGTTGAAGCATACTTCAATTTATAAATCAGAATAAGTTAATTTTTACTTGCATTACAGAGAGATTTAACCAAGTCATCATACAGTGTGAAACATGTTAAATTCAGCATAAGTGCATGTCCAGGGGCTTCAACTTTAGTTTTAAAATTTCAAATGATTCATCTTGATGAAGCTTACACATGTAAATAAGAATAAACCTCAATCTTCTCTATTTTCTTTATTAAGGGATATATAAAATCAACATTTGTAATATGTAAAGGTTTAAACTTAACTTCATTAGTGGTTCTTATGATTCTGTTTACTGTAAATTATCAAATGCTTCTATAAATGAATATCAACTGAATTTGTTAAGCAGAAACCTCAAGTTTCTATAGTTTCTGCATAATTTAAATTAATAAATTCAAGCATGCTAGTGATATAAATAATCATTTTTCATTTTAAGTTGACACAGTTAATTAAATTATTGAGCATGCTTTGCACAATTTATTGCTGCAAAAATTTGACAACTATCAAAAATGTAAGATTACGTAATTTGATTCTAAACAATTTTTAAAAAAAATCACGCTTTGAAAAATTTTACTAGTGTTAATAAATTTTGCCTTTTTTTTAATTTATGCAAAGACTTTTATATGGTATTTTTGACATTTCAAAATATGAAAAATGCCCACATTGCTAAATTTACTGTATCCTTCACTTTATTTTACTAACCTGTCTAGTGTGACCTCAGGTGGTGTTGTGTCAATTAAGAATCCATCAGACACAGCCTCTAAAACATTGCCTGCATTAGTAACAGCACGAACACTAGAGTAATATTTTGTTTCTGGTTTAAGGTGTAGATTGGCTTGGGCAAAACCAGAACTGGATATTCCTGTATTAAGTGAAACAAACAAATGTAAAGTTCCAGCAATGCAGCATATAGCACTACTTTTGAATCTAAATATTTGCCATCAATTCCAAAGTTGATGGCTGAAGTCACTGGCAACAGTTATGCACAATCACAGTGAGCGTTTCTGGGATATTTTTAATGATTAACATAGAATATTTTACAAGTATTGCATTATCACCTGAATAAAAGTACAGTATTACAAAAAAAGTTGCAACTATCAATTGGTGAAAACCATTTTTTCCCCCTGAAATGTCTCCGAAGAGATGAAATGTATTTATAGCAATTGTCATTTCTATATGTTTATTATTCCTCCTTATAAAGATGTATAATAATTTCATTATCGCCAAGGGCTGGTGGCCTAACATTATTTGAATAACCCAGTCATCATCGTTTGCAATCAAAGTAATGTTGCTGAAATTAATTTATTATTAGATTACTGTCCATTGGTGAAAAGGTTAAGAAGGGACGGTAACATATAAATGCCAATATTGCTGGAATATGAAAACAAAGTGCGCACACTGAAATGTCTCCCCTGCTTGACTTATCATGATTGAATTTATGTTGAAAGTGTGCAATATGTAGGTTTTGCTACACATATGACATAAACTTAACATTAGTAATGATCAATGTAAACAAGGTAAAGGTCAGATGAACCTGCAAGAAAGACATGTACACCTTACAATCACATTACACACCAAATATAGTAAGCTTATTGCTTATAATATCTAAGAAATAGACATAAATATGAAAATTGTACATTGACCAATGAACCATAAAAATGGTCTCGCTTTCCACGACTTTCGTTGCAGGCGTGACAAAAAATTAGGTCAAGGACAGTGGACATATGATTGACTGAAACTTTGCAACATAAGGCATCTGCATACCAGGATTAAGCATCCAGATTTTCTACCTGCTGAAAGATGGAGCTTTATGCAAATAGTTAAGGTTGTTGCCCCTATCGGATATGTCATAGGTCTCGCATTCTGTGACATTCATTGCAGGCAAGACAATTATGATCCATACTAAGATTTACAAATATTCTCAAGATGCTGAAAAAAGGAGTTGTACCTACTGTAGGGACTCTGTGGGATGATAACTTACCATTGCCAACAACATCTGCCTCTTCAGAATGTATCAGTCCATGAGGAGTATAGGACATAACATCCTCTCCACCTGGAGTTGTACCTACTGTAGGGACTCTGTGTGATGATAACTTACCATTGCCAACAACATCTGCCTCTTCAGAATGTACCAGTCCATGAGGAGTATAGGACATAACATCTTCTCCACCAGGAGATGTACCTACTGCCAATTCATAATCCACAACTCCATGTAAATGACTCTCAAAACCACTGAACTGTAGTGTGGTAGAAGAAAAGTCTAACTGATAATCTATATCTTCATTAAGTACTAAGGTATTACCATCACTACCCTCAGCTCCATCTATCACCAAACCTGTTAAAGAAATAAATACAATCATTTAATACGAAGGTATTACCATCAGTACCCTCAGCTCCATCTATCATCAAAACTGTTACATAGCTAAATACAATCATAAAGTACTAAGGTATTACCATCATTACCCTCAGCTCCATCTATCACCAAACCTGCTACAGAGAATAATACAATCATTGAGTACTGAGGTATTACCATCTGAATCCTCTGCTCCATCTACCCCAAAAACTGTTATAGAGATAACTACAATCATAAATACTAAGGTATTATCATCAGTACCTTTAGCTCCATCTATCACCAAATCTGTTATAGAGCTGAATACAATCAATAAGTACAAAGTATTACTTTCTGTACCCTCGTTATCAATAAACCTTTTTTAATCATGTAGATATAAATAGATTTATTTGACAGACCTGATAAAAAATTGATACTTTCTTGCTGTAATCTTTCCATATCACCTGAATTCATCATAATGCTCAATCTTATTTTTACATGGTGTTTTCATGACTATTGTTTGCTGTTGACTATGATGTTGTCTGTCGTACTTATATTAATATCTTTTCATTTGGACAAATTGTTATCTTCTTCCTTTTACACTCGTAAGTCTTAGTGTATTGATAGCCTACAGACGTTGCAAGTCTGTCATACATTTTGGTTTATCTATTCCACTATTATTAAAAGGGTCGCTCAAATATCCTGCAGTACTAGTTGCTTGTAACCATGTTTCATACCTGGTTTGTCTTCATCCACAACAACAATAGGTGTAGATGTGACAGGATTACTCTCCTGTCCTGCTCCATTCTCTGCCTTCACACTAACATAATACACTGGTGTGTAAGTTGTCAGGTCTGTCAGCTGTAGTGTTAGGTTAGGTATGTATATATCCTTCTCTTTTCCAAAAACTGTCCAAGACATAACATCTGTGCCACCTTAATACACAAAAATATTTTTAAGGACTGGTGTTAAGCTGTAATGTTAGTTCAGGATGTATATGTATTTCTTATGGAATAAAATGATAATTGAATTGCTGTTATTGATATCTAATGTATCATTTGTAGTTTGTTGGCAACTGTGCAACTGTTCTATCCAATCACTAATTTTTACATTTGAAGGTCGAAAAAACATATGGGCAAATAAAATTCTAGATCTCATATAGGTCTTAACACCATCACTGAAGCTAGCATGTTGAAAATTTAAACACTTTATTCATATTGAGTGATGAAATACTGTTACACACCCTCAACAGAATGAGAATGCTGTTTGGTCGGTATCATCAATTCAAGGTGCACCAGTACTAATTAAATTTGCTGGCTAGTTTTTTTCTATGGACTCTTATTTACGTTTTCATTCTTCACAAAATATTATTGATTGACCCTATGCAAAAGTCATGACTGAGGGGGAGGGGCAAAATAACTACTATGAAAATGAGATGTGCCAATGCTGTGAGGATTAAGCTATTTTTTAGGACACTTTTGGCCATACAGCTCCACACATATTCCAGTGTTTAAACATCCTTGGCTTTAAAATGATTTGGTTTTGAAGGTGGATTAAGAAAAGTGCTTTGAAGAAACCAAAGGAGTAGGTTCTATAAGGCCCTAAAATGGCCCCCAATTCTAGCTTAAATTTGAAATTAAGATTTATTTACCAATGTCACAATGAATCACAGCTTATACAATTACTAGATAGGAAATATGTCTTTTTGTTGAAAATTTACGTTTTTGTGTACTATTCATGATGTCACATAAAGCACTCATTTTGATTTTTCTTGAAAGTTCGATGATAACGGATAGATTTTTTAATGACTTTTTTGGACAGGAAAATTGGAGCACATGCGTCGACAAAAAAGATCTTTTATCATAGTATTTGTTATGACATTTTACATATCTGACTTGAATATTTAGTTTGTCGAAGCCTGCGCTCTATGTTACCTTGGCCTTAATTTGGTTGAAATCCAGATGATTTTGTCCATTAACCTTTGTGGGATGAAAAATCAATCCTTTAAAACATAACTTTGACAAAAATAGTTCTATTTATCTTTTTCACATGTCTTTTTATCAACTTAACACATTTTAATCGGGGCCAAATATGACCCTTACGGAACTTACTCATTTATAAAGTGATATTGTTGTTTATCTTGAATTTTATGCTGTATAAATATTTATGGAATGTTTTTTATAAACACTAACCTTTGGCAGTGCCAACTGCCACCTTAAACTCTATGATTCCTGACTGGGGATCTTCAGCTGCCCAGGCTACTTTTATTCCAGTAGTATCGGCCTGCAATACAAATCCATCTACAACATCCTCAATACTACCAGCAAGACTCCCGACATGTAACCAGTGCACCTAAAATAAAAGAATTTAACTATAGCTAAAATGCTTATCATAAATAAGAAACAACTTAAATTTTCATTTTATAGAATGAAGAAACCTTCAACAGAACAGTTCTTTACTGGCAAGGATAATTCTAGTAGGAGTAAATATTTCATAGATTAATGACATTTATATTTTTTAATTCATACAATATTCTAGTCTGGAATAAGTGCCTGATTAACATAAAAATCATTTTCTGTAAACTGTGATTATACTTGATTTCTAAATAAAACATTTGAGCTATTCTATTTGTTTGTTGGTGTTCTGCTTTGCCCTTTAAGGTTTACGTTACAAATGGTGACAAGAGCTGGGATTGCTGATTCCAAAAAATGAAAGAATACATTACCTTAGTGCAAGATTTATAATGTTTAAATTGTAATGGGAGATTCAAATGGAGACCATTCAAATTATGGCACTTTTCCTATGAATTTTACTTGTGTTGATAAGAGCAATGATCATCAAACAACTTCTAGAAATCATCAATATACTCAACTAGGAATATTTACTTCTACAAATCCAGGATGGACAATTTCTCAAAATTCGTAATTTCCTTACTACAGTCAGACGGCACTGACCTTTAACCAACAAAATCAAGACCAATGAACTCCGCCTTATACCTCTTGTAAATATTTGTATCCGGTTGTGACCAGTACCACAGTACCTGAGTGGTTTAAACATGTTAGTGACCATAGTATTATTTAACTAGAGGCTCTCAAGAGCCTGTGTCGCTCACCTGATTCTACTTTGGTTTTGGAAATCATGTAAAAATAGATTAAAATCATAACAGATACCCTAATAATGATTAAAGCCAAATTCGGTTTAATATTGGCCCCGTAATTTAATCAAAAGCAGAAGACTTTTGTAAGGTTTACAGAAATTACCAATAAATTCATTGAAATTGTAGAAAATGACTTTAAAAGGACAATAACTCCAACAAGATGTCAATTGACAATTTTGCTCATGTTGACTTATGTGTAGATCTTCTTTTCTTGATATTTTTGCAGTTTACAGTAGATCTCAATCTATAAAGATACATGTATTAAGGTCTTCATCAGCACCTCATAAGGAATATTTATGCCATGTTTGGTTTCATTTGGTGTGAGCCAAGGCTCCGTGTTGAAGACCGTATTTTGACCTATATTGGTTTGCTTTTATAAATTTTGACTTGGATGGAGAGTTGTCTCATTGGCACTCATACCACATCTTCTTATAACTATATATGCCATGTTTGGTTTCATTCTATTCAGTGGTTCTCTAGAAGAAAACATTTGTATGTATTGTCCATAGGGTCCTATGTTAAATGAAGTCCCCTGCTGGCGGCCATCTTGGATGATGGATCGGCTACAAAGTAACAACACTTGGTCAGCACCTCAAAAGGAACATTCATGCCATGTTTGGTTTCATTCCATTCAGTGGTTCTCTAGAAGAAGTTCAAAATGTTAAAAGTAAATGACGATGACGAACGCTGGACGCCAAGTGATGAGAAAAGCTCATTTGGCCCTTTGGGCCAGGTGAGCAATAAGGTGAAAACGATTCAATACGATGGAAAGGATTTTTCATTAAATGGATTATGGGAGTTGTGCTTGTTAGTGTATTAATCAGAGGATTGATAACTATGTATCTGTGTCATGAGTTGCTGGTTAAAGGTAAACTTGTAGTATTTGTACAACTGTATTTATTCTATTTTCGATGACTGTGATCATAAAAATGTCCGATGGAAATGAAACACTTAAGGTTACGGTGTATGGACTATGTTCTTGGCAGCCAAAGGATGTAAGGAATTTTGATTTCCCTGAAAAGACTTATCAAGAAAAAGACCAAAATGTGCGAAGGAAATTAACATTCTAGCCAGAAGTGTCAAGTGAATCATTACAATTTCCAAGAAAACACGAACTAAAGTCAGCTATGCATTCCACAATTCATGTGAAAAGAACATTTTTGCAGTATTAAAGGGAAATCACACTATTTATACTACTAATAATAATTCATTGAAATTTCGCATGTAGACAGATCATATTTATTAAGATATTTTAGGCGAAAAAAAAATTGGGGTCACCGATGTTGTTTTCGAGATATGACGTCATCAAAACTTAAAGAATCGCGTTATAACGAAATATAGAAATACCGCTCTAAATTGTTAAAAAAAGATTAACTTATTGAAAAACTATGTTTAACTGGAATAACAAAAACAGTCAAATGTAACTTGTACCTTATGAACATTTATTTGTCTTGGTTTCCTTATTTTTGAAGACACTTGAACATTTCCCGCCATTTTTAATTGCTATTTATAATAGATTTTTCTTGAAATAAAAAAGAATCTACTAATGTTTTTCCCTTCAAACTTCTGCAAAAGTTGCAGCTTTAGGGAAGATTTTAAAAGCATAAATAAAAAAGGGGGGTCACCGATGTTTTAAATCCGCTAAAACGGAAATAATCTTTATTATTGAATTTTGGCGGGAACTATAACCTTTTAACGTTATAGAACGACGTTGCTGGCATAACAGCATTTCTTGCAACTCTTGGGTTGAATTAAACCTTTTCACTACAAAATATTATATCATTTTTGAACATTTTTAAGGTATTTTGATTATTCATTGATATCTTTATCAATCTATCGAATCGTTAAACATAGATACAATAACAGTTTATTATAAAGTAATTGTCAAAGTTGAAGTCATCTCATTTTTTTAATTGCATTTGTTGTATGGGGAAAACGAATGTTTGCCTCATGCCGTATTATAGAAATAATTTTCGGCTTCCAGATAAAGAATCTTCTACCTCGGAAGACTGAGGGTATCCGGGCTGAAAAGTAACACGTTCCTTTTAGACTGCAGGCAGAATAATTTCGTTACCATAATTTCACTAGCTTGTCCATTCGCACCGGGAAGATAAAACCTGAAATGCCGTGTTAAAAATGCCACAAACTCAGCACTTTAAAAGAAACCTATTTTCGGTAGGAATTTAAAATTGGTTCCGTAATTACACAACGCTTCATAATTTATTCGAACTGTGGAAACCAAATTTTCTTCTGAGTTCTATCATCCCGCACCCATTTTTCATACATCGTTTCATGTTCATTGTACATAATATGTTCAATGTTCATCGCCTGTGTACTAAAACTTTATGTACATGTATTACGTATATTCTATTACCGTTCGATTAATCGCTCAACGTTGGTATGTTATGAGAAATACAATGCATCTGATAATTTAGAGTTAATTGACAATAAAATACACATCGCCATATTGATATCAGGAACATATAATGTTCCCAGTTGGTGTATTTAAAAAAATCTTTTAATTTGTAATAAACGGATCTAGTTTTTTTTCTTGTTCTGCTACATCTATCCGTGTTTCTGTGGACATGTCGATATATTTTATCTAACTCTAGTTTTTTGTCGAGCCTTCGACTTTAGTCGAAAAAGCGAGACATAGCGATCCTACATTCCGTCGTCGTCGTCGGCGTTTACAAATATTCACTCTGTGGTTAAAGTATTTGAAGTTTTAATAACTTTCTTAAACTATCCTGGATTTCTACCAAACTTGGACAGAAGCTTGTTTATGATCACAAGATAGTATCCAGAAATAAATTTTGTAAAAAAAAAAATTTATTTTTTCCGTATTTTACTTATAAATTGACTTAGTTTTTCTGCTAGGAAACAATACATTCACTCTGTGGTTAAAGTTTTTAAGATTTCAATAACTTTCTTACACTATCCTGGATATGTACCAAACTTGGACAGAAGATTGCTTATGATCAAAAGCTTGTATCTCGAAGGAAATTTTGTCAAAATTGTGTACCTGTTTATCCGTATTTTACTTATAAATGGACTTTTTCTTCCAGTCAACATTACATACAGTATGCAGTTAAAGTTTTAAAAACATTTATTAGATCCATAAACTATCCTAGATTTATACCAAACTTGGACAGAAGCTTCTTACAATCAAAAGATAGTATCGAGAGGAATATTTTTATTGATTTTTTTTCTCATTTTTGTTGAGCCTGCGATTATCAGCAAAAGTAGGCGAGACACTGGGTTCCGTGGAACCCTTACGAATTTTTTTATCAGATGACAAATGAGAGTGTGGATAACATTTGATGTAGAATAAGAGTTAGAGTTCCAGCTAAATTTAGAGTTAAAGTTCCAGTTTTATTTTTTGTTCGAATATTAATTCGAGTAAGAGTTCTAGTTAAAGCTCGAGTTCCACTTAGAAACTTCCGAGTTATACTGTAAGATAGAATAAATTCTGGTAAGAGTTAAAATTTTGAGATCTGAGATCCGATGAAATTAAAAGAAAGATTGCAGTTTCTAATTTCTGTTGATGCACCTCTCTTTCTTGAATTGTATATTCTTTTATCACATTTATGTTTCAGTATGGTATAGCCTATGTACTTTTTTTTGCCAAAACTGATTAATGATAGGTACATGTAATTGGAAAATAACTGATTGATTGTGTGTGCCACTTTCAGCACTCTGCTATATCATGTTGGCCATTATTTTTTAAAGAACCAAGGTATCAAGAGTAAATCAGCTACCTCTGTATTAAACAAATGGTTGTCCTTTACAGTCATGATCGGAATCTGACAATCTCCCTATATCACTGTTAGTTGACATGCAAGTGATCACATTGAGTGATGTGAACACGAACCAACATCTGAACTACTAGTTTTTGTTTTGTTTTTGTTTTCGTTTTTTTCTTGATTTTTGCAAAACTTTCAGTGGCAAATATCACATGAATATCAGCACAAAATTTTGTTCTATATGAGATGAATACTCTTTCACAAGACGGACCTTAATGTGATGGTTACAGATTAGCACTCTGAAAGACATGTTACTCTACAAAAAATACATGTGTGTGTATTAAATATTTCTCTTGTTGGAGTCTTGTAAAGCCAAATATACAGTGTGGATTTTTTGTTGTTGTTGTTGTAGGCAGTACGGTCATCAATAGTACAAAAATAACTAGGCATAGTGTTTGATATTCCCAGATTGCTCTGACGTCTTATTTTTTAACTTGCTGGTCGTACAGTTCGCTATAATTGACAGTTTGAAGAAATACAACAAAATATGATTTTTTTTTTGTGCCCAAATTATGTAAGCCTGAACAAAGCATTAAAGGAAGATTGAGTATAATGTACTATATAATACGGTGCTAAATTTTCTTTGATTTCGACAGACAGCAACCGATGTAAAATTTTGTATGCTTCTTTTACAGTGATGTTTAACTGGCGTTATTCTTATATAACGTTTGATATTTCAACAAATATGATTACTCTACGAATCACTCGTGTTCATGTGTTTGTGCCCCCATACCCCCCTTCCCCCCCCCAAAAAAAAAGAAACAAGAGAGAGAGAGAGAGAGAGAGAGAGAGAGAGAGATGACACCAAAGGAACATCGAAACTCATTGTTCTTATTTACATCCCTCTGTTGGAGAGAAAACTACAAATTCCGGAAGCTGTACGCTTACATGCTGTTACTCTTGGTATATTGTTATTTTGTCCAGTATATTCCCACATGCCGCATCGCGACGATACGCTGCCAACAGTTGGGTTACACTAATGACAGGACAATTGCCCGTATTGACCGGATGAGATATAAATAGTCAGAACTTTTTTGTTATTTGATAGATTATTTTAATATTTGAAGACCTTAGAAATATTAGACTATATTTTATGAATATTTAACAAAAAAAAGTTGACCGGACGGATTTCACACTCACTGATGTACGCTTTACAATATTGAACTGATCGACAAAAAGTGTTACTAGTAATATCTCTTTTGTTTTACAATATTTTTCATACAACTAAGAAATCTGCGATATTAATAGTTATCTTACATGAAAATTTAAACTTCATAGTAAAACAAAATGTTTTTCTAAAAAAAAAAGTTGACCGGACGGATTTCACATTCGCCGATGTACGCTTTGATTATACTGAAATGATCGACAAAAAGTGTTATAAATATCTTTTGTTTTTAAATATTTTTTTTCTTCGTGAAACTAAGAAATCTGCGAGATCAATAAATATGTTAATATAAGAAAATATAAACTTTCCAGTAAATAAAAAAAGTTTTTCTACAAAAAAAAGTTGAGCTGACGGATTTCGCTACAAATAATAAAGACCAGATCAACAATAAATGTTGATATTTCTCATATCTACCAATATTTTTCGGTGAAATTAATAAACCTTTAAGAAAAATAATTGTATAAATGGTATTGTATGTAAATACTAACTCAATAATAATAATAATAATATCTTTATTTAAAGAGAGTAACTCATTTGAATTAAACCCAATCGTAAGGTAATTCAAGACCATATCAAGACCACTTTCGGCTATTTTTTTGCCATACATTTTGTCCATTTCGAGTAGCATTTTCATTTTTTGCACTTAAATCAAAACGTCATTTGCTTTCTCTTGATTTAGTGAACGTCCCTTTGAGTGGGCCGCCATTTTAGAAATTAGCAACCTTTACGACGGACTCGAAACGGCGACGTCATAATACGGTCACGGCACTATAGTGGCGCCGAGAGCGATGCGTATAAACAATAGTGTGATTTCCCTTTAAGAGAACATTGCTACAGTGACCTGCTGGACAGAAGAGAGAGAATGTCTAGTTTTTCTTACTTCCTTAAGAAGTCAAGCTGAAGCTTATAATGTGCATTGGTTATCCAATAGTGATATTACAAAATATAACTCTCTTTTGCAAAAAATAGAACTTCCTTTTGAGCACTCTAATATGAAGGAAGCTTACCTAGTTGAAGCAAAATTGTGAAAACGTAAATCTGGAGAGACTTTCGGGGATCTAAGACAATCCATTAAAGATCTGTATAGACAAGCTTATCCTTTTAAGCACTGACAACAGTTAAGAAAAATAGTAGTAAGACTTTCCTTAATGCTTGTGCTGAATGAGAGGAGTTGAGACTATCTGTTAGTTGTTCTCAAACAAAAATGTTTACAAGATGCCATTACGAGTGCCATGGAGGAACAATGCATCAGGATTAGTGAAAAGCACAAGAATTTGGTGAAATAGACTGTCTATTCTGTTGAATATGAACTACAAGGATCGTTATTCTAGGAAAAGAAAAGAAAAATCAGCACAATGAGGAATACATGTTGAAAGAACCCTTAATTACTGCAAAGAAAAGGTTGAAGATAATGTTAAATGTTATAATTGAGGTGAAATTGGACATTACAGAAGCCAATGAGGTCAATTACTGACAAAAAAAGTTCACCGCTGATGAAAGCGGACGGAGAAAAGGCAGTATCACAAGTAAACAAATCACAGTCAGAGTAGTAGGCCATACTCTTACCGTAGCTTATAAGAGGCCTAGCACAAGTGTTGATAATGATATTTCCAGTAGTGAAAGTATGTCTAGAAGGAATATACGTGAGTGTGCAGGATACTCACTAGACGATTCTAAAAGGACATGCAAAACACAGCAAAACAACAAAGAAAAATCAATATAGTGAAGATTTACAGACGAATGACAGGCAAGAGAATGTAGCTGTGATAGCTACATGAAAAGAAATTCAAGGATGTAATTGATAGATTGATTAAGGGATCAGCTATATCTTGGAAAGTTGACACTGGACCCAGGAGAACATTTTTCACAGAAGAGAGCTACTATAGTATAATGCCAGAATGTAGACCTGTGTTGAGCATATATGGAAGTACACATAACATTTTAGTTTTGTTGAATTTTAAGCTGCATTTCCAATTTATATTGGAGGTGTAAAACTTAATCTATTAGGTGAAGATTTTAATTTCAAATTATAGATGTCAATGGAATTTCAACTCAGGATCCCTAGATATAAACGAATTAAGAACTCTGCTTGAGCAAAAATATGTCAATGTGCGATCTAGTAGTGTTATAGCCATGACATTCCTGCGAGATATGAAATAATTGTGAAAGCAAAGCTTAATAGAAAGCTTATCCTGAAGGGAATTCAGAATTACTGGATTTTGTAGTAATTTCATAAAGAAGTATGGATTAGCCATTGTAAGAGTTTTAGTGAATGCATCATGTTTGCATACTTATTTGAGTATCATAAATTCTTATGACACCTTTATTATTCTTTAAAAAGGAACTCATATTGGATTATTTGTTCCAGCTCAAAAAATTGTGAATAACAGTGAAAATATGGAAGAAGGAACGGTTTGTCATGGTCAGGTGGAGGTCAAAGATTCACGGAATATTTTATAGACAGACATGTACAATAATGGGAGAGAAAACCTTACCAAAAGTGAAAGCAAGAAGTTTAAAGAAATTCTGCTAAAGTATAAAGATACTTGCTGTGATTGGGCTGGACAGCCAGCAAAAACAACAATAGGTTTACATAATTTCAAATTGAAAGAAAACATTCCATTAAAGGAACCAAAGAGGAATACCTCTGTATAAACATCATGGAATTGATGATGAAATTATGAAGTATGGGGATAAGAAAGTACAATAGCCCCTGGTCATCAGGCTTAGTGTTAGTGCAAAAGAACTTTTTGGCAACTGTGCATTGATTACAGGAAATTGAAAGATAAGATGACCAAAGATGTGTATCCAATCCCTAGAACAGAGGATAACATAGACACACTGAGTGGAGCCAAGTGGATGTCAAAACTGAGCAGAATTGTTGTGTAATAGAAAAAGAAATGTTAGCAGTAGTATCTTCATACCTCGTTTCATACTGAGAACGGACCACGCTTCACTTACTTGACTTTACAAATTCAAAGACACTGGACGTTTAAATAATGAGATGGATACAACAACTTAGCAGTTATGACTTAAGATTGCTCACATACCAGGTTCAAAGCACGCAAATGCAGATGCACATTCTAGAATAATGGATAATAAAGAATTCTCTGAAAGTGCAATTTACCATAGGATTATGTGTATAACAATTCAAAAGATATAAGTGTTGTTACTTAAAGAAAAGCCTTGTTAACAACTCCCATACTCATACTGTATACTCCACCCTGATGTACTGACAACAGATACTTACAACAGGAGGTGTGGTATCTATGACAACACCATCAGTCTCAAAAGCTGCTACAAATCCTGCCTTGTTAACAGCTCCCACCCTCATACTGTATACTCCACCCTGATGTAAAGACAGACCTGTATGAGTGTAGTGGTTTATATTAACATCAGTCCCAAGATTTAACCATTCACCATAGATTACTGAAACAAACAAATTTATATTACGGCAAAGTAATTATGCAATATTTCAGAAATACCGCTAAAAACAATCTAAGACTTACAAAGTAATACTAAAGTTTTTTTCCTGAATTCCAGTAGCAAAATAAGGGTGTAGGGATTATCTATGAATGCAGAATCATACCTATTTTTACGGTGACAACAAACACAACTTTTGCATTTAATTTTTTGTAATTTGGGCTTGTTTTAACACTCATGAGGTGTTCAAAAATTATGTGTTAACTTTTTCAACCGTAAATACTTATATATGACTTGAAACTTACCCTAGTTTCACCAAGAGACAAAAAGGTTTTTGCCCTGAATTTCCAAGGCAAAAAAGGGTGTGAGTATTATACACAACTTTGTACTATTATGGCCATTGATCTCGAATATCCCAAATTTAAACAACAAGTGAAGACTTCTTTTCAAAATAGTACATTTAATAAGAACATGAATAATTGGTTTTTAAAGTAATGTTAATTTGTGATATCAAATCATGCATATATTGCCTGCTTTTTGGCATGGCTGATCTTTTTTTCTTTTTTCCCTTATTTCATATAAAAATAAGTGGCAAGATTGCAAGTGAGACATCTCTCCACCTAAGACAAAATGGCTTAGAGGGTTAGCAACTATACCTGGAAATATCTGTAATCTCACATCTTCATGATACTGATATATTTGAATTTTGTAATGGTCAAGACCAGACTCTTTGTCTATAAACTCAAAGCTACTGGATAAACTGGTCACATTAGACTGTAAAATATATATACATTACAAATATATACCAATTTCAGAAGAGCTAGTACTGAGTTACAATATTGCCAAGTTTCAACCAAAGCATTATAAATCAAAGCACGAATGTGCTGAAAAAGCAGTTACTTACAGGATTTATGATTTTATAGCCCAGATTGATTATAATCAAACATTACTTTTCAGGAAATGCTATCAACATCAGATATATAGACATTTTTCAATTTATTATTATGGCATGGAAATGATAATTCTATATTGTATTTCCAAAGAACATATTATTACATGAGTGTATTAATGCACAAATATCTTTTAATATAAAATTTTACCATCTACAGAGCAACTTATGAATGACTTTTTCTACAAACAAATTGATTTTTTGTTTTATATTCAACAAAGTGCAATTGAATATTTAGGGTCAATTTTGATTTTCACCATTTGTGGTTATTCACACTAAGTTTAAAAAAAAAACAACACTCCAGTTCGTCATGATGGTTTGGTGTGAATTTCTCTCAAAACCATTGAGTTATATGATGCATCTCTAAGTGTCCACTCTTTCCCAGGAAATCGTTATTCTTCAAAAAATTATTCTGAGCAAAACAGTAAATAATTCCAAGTATGACTCCAAGAATTGACCATGTCAGGTCACCAATTATTGTTTGTAATTGTCTACATCCAACTCTGAGAAAGCCTAACACTACCATATTTTTGTTACGTCATGTATGTAATATAAAAATAAGGAGATGTGGTATGATTGCCAATGAGACAACTATCCACCCAAGTTCAAATGAAGTGGATGTGAGCAATTATGGATGCATGTCAACTCATACCTTTGTCAACTCGTACTCAACCAACTCATACTTTTACCAATTCGTAGTTCTACCAACTCGTACTTTTACCAAATCATACTTCTACCAACTCGTACCCATTTTTGTAGCGTTGTTATTTAATATGATAAATCGTAAATTTAGTAGTAATTTTGTACTTTATAATTGATCTTGTTCGAGACATGTATAGTATACATGTTGATGATCTAGTGGTAAAAATAATAAATGATTCTTGACAATCATGATGGCTTTGATTTGGAATGACGCTTAAATCTCTTTAATTGTGAAGTAACGAATTCATCAGGATTCATCCTTGTTGGTAAATGAGGACACACATCACTTCATCTTGAGCTTGAAATCTGAGGAGTGTTTTGGAAAATTTATTGTTTGACTGATTTTTTCGTTGGGTGTGTGTTGGAGAAGTTTTTGTTTTTTTTGTTTTTTTTTTGGTATCTCTGAAGACTTTAGTAGTTTTTTTTTTTTATAGCATTAAGCTACTACACGAATTAAACAAAGCCAAATGTTTATTCAAAACATTCAATGCATTTACTGAATTTAAAATTTCAAACTTTAAAGCCATATTTTTTTTTCATTTCGGTGAAAAAAGTGATTGTAAAAGTATACCTCTAAGTCAATGAATGGACTTTGATATTCAAAGTGCTGCATTTATTTCGAAATTGATGATTTTATTTACTTCTCAATAAACTCAATTAACCCCAATTTAATCAGTTTTAGGTCCCCGTATAATGACCCTAATAAGTATATTTTATAATTATATTTCAAATCAAAATATTTAACCGTATGGCCGTAAAACCAATACCGTATAGTTGGCTATAAAAGGCCACCGACATGAAAAAGTCCAATACAAATGTAACTAATGGCCTAATTTAAAACAAATCAATTTACGAAAAACAAGTATGAAAGACACGAACCAATGACAACCACTCAACTACAGGCTCCTGACTTTGGTTGCCTATAATTGCTTACATCCACTTCATTTGAACTTTGGTGGATATTTGTCTCTTTGGCAATCATACCACATCTCCTTATTTTTATATACATAAAGAATGTGGCGGGGTTAAACATGTTTGTGAGCACTCAACCCTCCCCTACCCTAGGACAGTGGTGTAACAGCACCACATAAGAACAAACTATAATAAACTGTTAACACAGAGATATGTCTTGCCTTTTTGTAATTTTCATAATCCAAATGTTGAAATTAAAATAGCAATACTTTAACATGTAAATTATGCAAATATTCAAAGTTAATAGACCATGACTGAAAGTACATGGTTAAACAATCTCCATGGAAATGAGATGTGCCAATGCTAATACAACTGCATACCAAATACCATTGACTTATCATAAGTCGTTCCCTTTAAACACAAACTAATACTTGTAAACTATGTAAAAGTTTCAAAGTCAATGAACCATGATGAGGGGGTAGGGCTATATAATCTCCATGGAAACGAGTCTTGCAAATGCCAATAAATTTGCATACCAAATATCACTGACTTAACATTAGTGCTTCATCTTAAACTGATCTAATCACAAACTAATACATGTAAACTAAGCAAAAGTTTCAAAGTTAATAGACCATGACTGAGGGGCGGGGTCAAATAATCTCCATGGAAATGAGATGTGCTAATGCTTATACAACTGCATACAAATTAACATTGGCCTACCACTAATGGTTCCCCTTGAACTGCGCTAATCACAAACTAATACATGTAAACTAAGCGAAAGTTTCAAAGTCAATAGACCATGACTGAGGGGGCGGAGCCAAATAATCGGCATGCAGTACTGCCAACCTCCCGTTTTGAGCGGTAGTCTCCCGTGCAAACGACAAAATTCCGGAAATCTCCCGTTTGCGTCCCCTCCTGCGCAGAATAAAATCTCCAGCTTTCGGATATTTTAACCAGGATTGACCCATGTTCGTATTTCTCTGGATTTTTCAGTACTGTCAATAAAAAGAAAAACAAACAATCGACGATCACTTGAAAACTTTGTTCAGCAGCAGTGTAAAAAAGAAGAAATATAACTGCAAATGTCAAGCAGTTTTGATGACCAAGTTCACTTGGCACAATGAACCTTTATTGTGCACATTATGTTCAATCAACTTTTCGGTTGCTTCTGGTGGTCTGTACGACGTTCAAAAGCATGCTTAGTGTGAGACTCACAACAAAACCAAAATATGGAATTTTATGAGTTATGAGACTAGGAGGTACTGAAAAAGGAAAACAAAAAACAAAAAAAACCCACCTTATATTGATTACAACCATGAATAGAAGAAATAAAGTATATTTATTAAGTCTTATTGTTATTTTTTAGATGAATAAGTGTCCAGGTCATATATCTAGCTTGAAAATGTTGTTCGCGCAAATTCTCCCCCTCAGCTGTCATAGCTGAGAGGGATATTTCCCTCTTTGAAGGTTTCAGAGGTTGGCAGGTATGGGCATGGAAATGAAATGTGCCAATGCTGATACAACTGCATACCAAATATCACTGACCTACCACTAGTGGTTCAACATAAACTAGACCTTATCACAAACTATTACATTGTTGACGCCGCTGCTGCCGCCGGAAACAGCATACCTGTGTCTCACTTTTTGACTCCGTCAAGGCGAGACAAAAATCAGTTGAAAATGGCTTAACCCATTTATGAGGATCCTCCCCAACCTGCTAAAGTAATCCTAATCCTTGTAACAGTTTGTGGGGTTGATATAATGATAATCTAAACACTGGGGAGGATGTGAATTCAATTTGTCTTTGAGTCATTGCTGACCCTGCTGTCAGTTCGGAACCTCTCTATCATGCTGAAGGTCCTTTAATGTCCGCATTGGAGTGTGAAATAATGAGTATTTCTTTGCGGAATTGAGAGTTTATTTAATGACAATGTTGATTTCGTCATCAAAACCTTCCAATTGGTGACAATGTTTTGACAACATTCCACTTTTCTATTAATGCCGGTATTTACCTTTAATCATCATTGACGTGTGCCATTAACAGAAGCTGTATCGAGTAATTAATATTCGATCACTTGTTGATTGTTCTATCAAACTATTATCACTTGTTAATAAACATTGGACATATTGGGCCATTAAATCAAATAAGTTCGATACACTCAGGTTTTTACATTGTCAATTTATAGAGGTAGAAACCCGAGTGTATCAAATTTTTCACATGTCAACTTTGGCACTGTTAGTTTCGGATTTAAATGTGTCCATAGTACACGGATGCCCCACTTGCACTATCATTTTCTATGTTAAGTGGACCGTGAAATTGGGGTCAAAAATCGAATTTGACATTAAAATTAGAAAAGATCTTATCATAGGGAACATGTGTATTAAGTTTCAAGTTGATTGGACTTCAACTTCATCAAAATCTACCTTGACCAAAAACTTTAACCAAAAACTTTAACATGAAGCAGGACAGACAGACGATTGGACGGATGGACGAACAGACACACAGACCGAAAAACATAATGCCCCTAAGTGGGGCATAAAAACAAACTTTTATGGGACCTAATATATAGAAATTGTTTACCTGACAATCACTACAAAAGTCTAAAAGTCTGAAAAGACCAGTTTTTGTCTGAATTTGCATGAACTTTTACTCGACATTCTCCAAAAGTATGACTTGTGTCTTAATTTTACTTGACAAATTCTCATTTATATTAAATTTGTATGAAATTTACTCGACATATTCTCGACATTCTGAATATGGTCTTAAAATTTCTTGACAAATTCATGACATTTGAATACTGTCTTGAAATTTCTCAACATATTCTCGACATTCTTATTTTTTCTCAGTATGGCTTGACATATTCTGAACTTTTTGAATGGTGTCTTAAATTTACTTGACAGTTCTGAGTTTTACAAATCATGACCAATATTCATGATATAACTTTAATCTTTATTTCTCTTTATATGATATACTGTTGTTTCAAGTTACACTTCTTTACAACAAAAATAAAAGTTGGGCATGTAAAGTACATAAAGTAATTGAAAATTTGGGTATATAAATATTTTTACAAATGCAAATATGGCTATGAAATCTAAAGTATAAAATAATTCAAATGTGGGTGTGTTGATATAAAACAATTTCAATGTGGGTTTTTAAATAATTACAAATTTTGATTCCTAAATCTTATAAATTAAATGATTCAAACCAATC